TTGTCCAGGTTGTCTGTGAGAAACCTTTTGTCTTCTTGATTTAAAAAGAATTTCCTTTCACAGACACACACAAGGAGAGAGCCATTTTAGGATAACTAGAAACAAAAATGATGTTCTCATGAATTAAGACATTTGTGTTAAAATGTTTTCTGAACTGAGTCTCTAAGGACCCCTGTGTTTAAAAGAAGGCAAAGGTTGTGAAGGCCTGGGTCTAGAGGCCTCCCTTACACCCTGGGAGGCAACAGGTGTCGGGAGGGGCAGCACCTCTGAGAGCAGGGTCCCATGCCCAGAAGCACACGGTTCAGGCTGCCTGCCTGTCCCCCGCTTCAGGCATCTTCTCTCCCTGCCTCCCCACCCCTTTCCTGCTTAGGCCAGGAGGGGTAGCACACATCCTAGGTCCCAGGGGAGGCATTACTGTCTCCTTTCCTTTCTCTCACTTGCACTGTCTTGGTCTTTCTGCCTGCCATCTCCTGACCCTACAGGACTCACAGCTAGAACCTCTGCTTCAGGGAGGCTGAGTTACAGAAGGCCCTTCCCTGGAGGCCTGGTTCCCATTCTCAAAGGGTCCAAAGGTGGTGCTGCCACTGCCCTGCCCTCTCATGGGGTAGAGCATGTGACACCTGCTCCACCTTTCYCCTCACACTGTGGCCTAGGACCAGGGCCTTGCTTCCCTTTACCCTCACTCCTACCCCATCTCCAGGCAGCCTCAGACTGGTGAGGGCTCCTGGCTAAAGACCAGGGCTGCCGGAGAGCTCTACCTGCCCTCCGCACGGCGTGGCGTCTTATCCAGGCACTCCTTCCCAGGGCCAGGGAGGGTAGGGGAGGTCTGGAGGCCTTGGGGCTCAGATTTTGCTCTATCCTGCTTGTGTTTTCATACAGGGAAGCAGCTTGATCCCCAACCTGGCCTTCCTGTTCTGGGTGGGCTGGCAGAGGGGATCCCCCAGCCTGGCACATGGACGTGGGGAAAGCCTCTCCACTTGGGGCTCCACTCTGAAGCACATTACCTAAGAGTGGGGGCTGCTGTACTAGTCAAGGGTGGGTGGGAGCATAGCCAAGCCATCTATCCTCTAGGGCCCCCACAGGYGCTGCTCTCTCTCAGTCCCTGCACATCCACCCCAGGCTGACCAGAACCCATTCTTTTCCAGGGGTGGCGATAAGCACCTACGCCAAGTATTGCTACCACAAGCTGCAGAAGGCAGCCCTGACGGGGGCCAAGAAGGTACAAGCATGCTGGGAGGAGTATCCCAGCCAAAGTTTGGTGGGGAGGTGTGAGGCTCAGGGGAGCACTGAGTGGCAGAGAGGGTGCTGCCAGGGTGCACCTAGGCACCTGGCTGAAAAGGCTTCAGGGCCCTCCTGTACCATGCCCCCTTTCCCCTCGGGGAGCTCCTCTCCATGCCTGGACCCCCAATTCAGAAGTGGTGCAGGCAAACTGGTGTGACCTGCACAGGGCCGCATTAAGGGGCCTTTTCACATGAGTGGGCCAGCTGCCTGGCTGTGCCCAGCCTGCCCTCGTGCTGCATGGGAGGGACAGCAAGGGAACAGCATCCCGGGTGCACCAACCCAAGAAACCAGCTGGTGTGGTGAGATACAGGAGTCAGGTACAGCCATGGCAGGCCATGAGACCACCCTCTGGAGGGGTCCCTCCCTCAGCCTGGCAGGCTCAGGCTGCAGTGTGGGCCTGGAAGAGACCCTGCCTTTGCATCCTCTGGGAGCCTAAGCCCCTCCCTGCAAAGCCTCTCTGACTCCGAAGAACATTGAGGCCTCAGTTACAGCACACAGCTGGACTTTGTTTTCTGGCTCTGTCCCTCCTCCCACCCTTGTCCAGGGAGTCTCTTGAGCCCCCATGTGCCTGTCCCAGACCCTGGCCCCTTCCCCACTTCCTATTCCTCATATATGTTGCTCCAGCCATTCTGGCCTATCTCACCAGAGGACTCACCCTGCCAGTTGGGCTTCCAGAACCATCACAGATCAATAGACCTGGCCCCCACTGTGGTCCACCCTGATAGCTCAAACTGGCCCATCCACCTTCCTGCATGGCCAGGGGGCCCATTGAAACTTTGGGTGCTGTAGGTGGCCCAGCAAGAGGCCCCCTTGGTGAATTGGTGGCTAGGGTTCTGAGACTGTCCCTGGCTTTGGTTAGGGAAGAGAAGACCCTTGGGGCGGGGGAGGGGGGTTAGCAGGAGAAAGGCTGGGCCAGACCAGGACAGAAGAGCCTGGCTGTCTTCACAGGGGCTAAAGAAGCCCAACGTGGAGGAGATCCGGCACGCCAAGAATGCTGTGTTCAGCCCATCCATGTTTGGCAGTGCACTGCAGGAGGTCATGAGCATGCAGAAGGAACGTTACCCAGACCGGCAGCTGCCCTGGGTACAGACGAGGCTCTCCGAGGAGGTGCTGGCACTCAACGGTGACCAGACGGAGGGCATCTTCAGGTGCCTTGTCAACCCTGGTCCCTGGATGTGGGAGACACAGGCTTGTGTCCACAGTGCATCTCTGGAGGCCCATCAGGCCTGCATCCATGCCCCTGCCTCAGAGCGGATGGAAGGGTGGGCCACCTTGCGGAAGCTGATCCCAAGGGACATGTGGCCAGGAGAGGAAGGTCAGGGCCCATCCTTAGGAGGCAGGTCTGCTGGTTCATCCTCAGTCTGGCAGCACAATGACCAGAGATTTTTGCTTCTGCAGAAATGGCCACCAGGGGTCCAGAGGGTGCTTGGCCTAAGCTGTGAGCCCCAGAGGGGAGATCAGTTAGGCATCAGAGCGTTGCAGCAGCTTGGCTTGTCATCCCCACCTGTGAACAGGGATGCATAGCCCCTGTCCTGACTCACCTCTCAAGAGCAGGGCTGCCCAAGCCCCAGAAGGAAAAGTCTCCCCAATCTGGGACACAGGTGTGCAAGCTTGGGCCTTAACAGCCTGCAGAGGGTCCAGGAAGGGACAGTCTGGGAGACCCCACACCCCCGACCCAAGCATAAGGGGCAGAAGCCCAAAAGAGAGCCATGAGGCTTTGTCACAGCACCCTCCCCCTTGAGAAAAGGCCTTGAGGACTGTTCCAATCTGGCCCTCCGGCCTGAGACCTGCCCTGTGCTCTGCAGGGTGCCTGGAGACATTGATGAGGTAAACGCCCTGAAGCTCCAGGTGGATCAATGGAAGGTGCCCACAGGCCTGGAGGACCCCCATGTCCCAGGTAAGTCCCCGACCCACTCAACACCAGAGCATGCACTGCCTAGAGGGTCGATGGCCATTCAGACCAAAGCCTCTTGTCTACTCACTCCTCCCGTCACCCACAGCTTCTTTCCCTGCTGTATCTCATGAACTTCCTTCCGCACCTCTGGGGCCGGCTCATCGTAGTCGGGTATATCCCGCACTGGGGGAGAGGCTGGACTGTGCCACCCCTCCATCCACAGATACTGAGTCAGATTGGCAGGACCATAGGTTTTATTCAAAGCCAGCTTTGAAAGAAGATCTAAGAAACTTTTGTTTCAAATTTCCATCTTGGGAAAACTGAACGGCCAGAATACCTTTTGTAAGGGCATATATACATGGAGATTGACTTAGCCTGTGATGCAGCAGCGCCAGTGGCCGCAGACCTGGGCAGGGAACCTTTTCCAGAAAGCCCTTTACCTACGTTCCCTGATGCGGTCGGAGCGGGCTCCTAGGCCCATGCATTCCCAGAGCAGGCCCACCTGATCCGCCCTCGCCCACAGCGTCGCTGCTGAAGCTGTGGTACCGGGAACTGGAGGAGCCCCTGATCCCGCACGAGTTCTACGAGCAGTGCATCGCTCACTATGAGAGCCCCGAGGCCGCCGTGGCCGTGGTGCACGCGCTGCCCCGCATCAATCGCATGGTGCTGTGCTACCTCATCCGCTTCCTTCAGGTACCCGCGTCCTGCCCCGCCCACGTCCCCACGCCCCCTGCCTGCGCCCCGGGCCTCGGGTCCACCCGCCACGCCCCACGCCCCCTGCCTGCGCCCGGGGCCTCTGGTCCACCCGCCACGCCCTCCGCTCCACCCCTCCCGCAGGTGTTCGTGCAGCCTGCCAACGTGGCCATCACCAAGATGGACGTCAGCAACCTGGCCATGGTGATGGCGCCCAACTGCCTGCGCTGCCAGTCGGATGACCCGCGCGTCATCTTCGAGAACACACGCAAGGAGATGTCCTTCCTGCGCGTGCTCATCCAGCACCTGGACACCAGCTTTATGGAGGGCGTGCTATAGCACGCGGGCACCACGGACAGCGGGCTGCGCGGCGCACGCGGGAGCGGGGGGCCCCGCCGGGGCAGCATGCCAGGCCCCGCCGGCCCCGAGAAGTGCCTTCTGTTCCCCGGAGCCGAGCGACACTGCCCTCCCGGCCGGCCACAGCACACGCCGCGCGGCCTCTCCGCTCCAGAGCCCCGGCTGCCCACCGCCAGGTCGCGGTTCTCCTGCGCGGGGAGGGCCCCTAACCAAAGTCCTCGCGGCGGGCAGGGCCGGGCAGGCACTCTTGGGGCGGGGGGAGAGTATTTTTTTCGTGGTGTACCTACGAGTCCAGATTCCATCCCGCACCCCGCCCTCTTGTGCATAGAGCTATAAATAGAGCGACAGACGTCGGGACTAAATTTGCTAAGGACATAGTTCTAACCAGATGCTATTTATCTCTGAGCCGTCCTCACCGCCCTCGTGCAGAGCACTCGCACCCTCCTTCCTTACCCGCAGCTCCCGACCCAACCCCGCGCCGCGCGGCGGCTGGGCCGGACTCGCCTGCGATCCCGTTATGGAATCAGTTCCAACTGTTGTCGAACTTAATTTCTCCCGGTTTTTATATATATATTTTTTAGAGTTGAGTTTTTATTTATTATTAAAACAAAACAGCCAGCCCTGCCGAGCCGGCCCCTGAGCGGGCCACAGACGTGCTCTGACACGTGGACCGAGGGACAGCTTTTCGTGTGAATAAAGTTCGTGTGGACACTCGCGCGCCGCTTCGGGTTCCTTCCGTCGCTGCGGGTCGCGGGGCGGGGCCGGAACCCGAGGCGCGAGGCCACGGCGCCGGCGGACGCCTGTTCGCGTGGCACCGTCCCCCGCCCGACCTGCCGGCCGCTTCAGGAGCGGTAGGATGTGGCGGACTTGCGGGGCGCTAAGCGCTTCGGCCCTAGCCTTGGCGCGGTCGCGGGGAGCCCGGGCCTGCAGCGGAGACGGGGGCGTCTCCTACACGCAGGGCCAGAGCCCGGAGCCCCGCACGCGCGAGTATTTCTACTACGTGGATCATCAGGGTCAGGTGCGTGGGGAGCGAGGCCGGGAAGGGGAAGGGCCTCTGTGGGGGCGGGACAGGAGCTGGAGTCCCGSTGCGTACTGCCGAGGAGAGGAGTCCCCGTAGGCCAAGGGAAAGGGGGGAACCTGGAAGGTGCGTGAGCCCCACTCKGCAGAGCCCAGACAATCAGCGGGAAAAACCCGGAGCGCGCGGGCGGCGTGGGCCTGGTGCGCTCTGCCCCGGACTTSGAGCTCAGCGCCTGCTTCGAGTACGGGCCTGGTGCTCCCGCGCTGCCCTCGCACGTGCGCTGGGAGGGCCGTCGCCTCGCCCTCACAGTGGAGCTGGCCCCGCTGCTGCTGGCGACTCCACCGTCCTGAGCCCGCGGGCGGTTCGGGAGGTCGAGTGCCCGCGTGGGGAGGCTCGGCCTGCTTTGTAATCAAGGAAAAGCCACGGAAAGTGCAAGGAAGCATTACTTGGGTTGCGGGTAGATGTCGGAAAGGCGGCAGGCCCGGGGTTTACTTTCAACGCGCCGCCCTGCACCGAGTGTGCACAGGGAACAGCCAGACAGTGAACACAGGCCTGGGGTCGACCTCCCCGCACACACTCACRGGGTCTCATTCACTGGCCTCGGCCTGTCCTCTGCAGCTCTTCCTGGATGATTCCAAAATGAAGAACTTCATCACCTGCTTCAAAGGTACTGCTGCACCCCACCCCTTCCTTCGCCCTTCCGGACAGCCGAGGACAGGCCCTGCCCCCGGCCCCGACCCAGGGCTGACCCGCACCAGGTGCCCTGCTGTCGCAGTGAGGCCAGCGCCGGCCTTGGGTGTGGTCCGGGGCGAGGCGCCTGCCGAGGTGAGCAGCCGCACTCTCTGCTCCCCCCAGACCTGCAGTTCCTGGTCACCTTCTTCTCTCGCCTGAAACCCAACCGCAGCGGGCGCTACGAGGCCGCCTTCCCCTTCCTCTCACTGTGCGGCAGAGAGCGCAACTTCCTGCGCTGTGAGGACCGGCCCGTGGTCTTCACGCACCTGCTGGCCACGGGCCGCGGGCCCTCGCGACTCTCCTACTGCGGCGGGGGCGAGGCCCTGGCAGTGCCCTTCGAGCCGGCGCGCTTGCTGCCCCTGGCGGCCAACGGGCGCCTGTACCACCCCGCGCCAGAGCGCGCGGGCGGCGTGGGCCTGGTGCGCTCTGCCCTGGCCTTCGAGCTCAGCGCCTGCTTCGAGTACGGGCCAGGCGCGCCCGCGCTGCCCACGCATGTGCGCTGGGAGGGCCGTCGCCTCGCCCTCACAATGGAGCTGGCCCCGCTGCTGCTGGCGACTCCGCCGTCCTGAGCCGCGGACAGTTCGGGAGTTCCCGCGGATCCTGCGCTCCGCTTGCCCGGGACTTGGGGGGCGCGTGCGCGTGCGCGGAGTGCGCCGGGGCTCCGCCTGCTGGCGCTGTCCGAGGTGCTGCTGCCCGTCCTAGGGCTCGGCGCCGCCCCTTGCTCCGCTCCTCGCTCCCCTTCCGGGCATCCTCTGGATTGGCCCGCGTTCCCGACGTCAGGCCCGGGCGGCGGGCGCAGAAGGCGCGGGGCTCCGGTGCGCGTGCGCGCCCCGCCTCTGCTGGAGCCAGGCCGCCGCAGGCTCGGCGGGGAGCCGCTAGCCGCCGGAGCGTCAGGTGAGGGGGGGCCCCGACCCAAGGTCACCGGGCTTCGGGGCGGGATCGGGGACCTCCCCGGCTCGGACCCCGGCACGCACCTAGAAGGGTGTGCAACCCGGCACGGGGGAGGGAACGCGGATACCACGCCCTCCACGATCGCAGGCCTGCACCTACCTGCGCGAGAGGGCGAAAGGGGACTTCGTGCAGGATCCCAGCGCCGGTCGCAGGACCACCCGGAGATCCTGGCTCGAGTATGCCGGAGAGAGGACACCGGGTGCCCCCAGCCCCCTGCTAAGCCGGATTAGGGTTTGTCCGCTGGTAAAAGGACTTCTGGGCTCTCATCCGGGTCCCTCATCCCTGTCCGGGCAGTCTTTCCACACCAATGTGTATTTAGCGGGTCCTCCAGAGCTGCAGCGCCRAGCCAAGGAAGAAACCAAGGCTTTATCGCTGGAGGCTGGGTGGGTGGGTGAGTCCTGGAGTTGGAGGGTGCCCCTTGGTGCTCAGGGAGACTAATGCCATGGGCCCAAAGAATGCGCCCCCCCAGTCCCATTTCTTGGGGGCTCACACACACCCTGAGACCCCTGGCAACCGCCTCTGCCTTTTCCATTAAAACTTTATTGCTGTGCTTACTCATATGTCCTGATTATAAATAATCGTGTGAGTTACAGTTTAGSGCAGAATTGAAACAAACACTGAAGCCATTTGGCACCTTTCATCATGACTCACAGAGACAGGGACACCTGGGTTTTGCCTTCCTTGGCTCCRGAGGAGCTGGTTTCTCAGTCACGCCCATACCTTTAAAACTGGATTCTTGTGTTTGGAACTAGACCCCAGCTTTCCCATCCCTGAGGCCACAGGTACATGCACATAAACCCCTGCAAACCACATGCTTCTTCCTATTCTCTCTGGCCCACATAGAAAACCACACCTGAAACCCAGTTGGTGTGGTTGGAGTAGCTCAGTGGTGGAGTATGTGCTTAGCATGGGAGACCCTGGGGTCAATCCCCCCMCACACACAAAGAAGAAACACAAAAGCTTTATTGGTGACCTAAGGCCCCTCTCTCACACCCAATCTTTCCCAGGACTCCACCTACCCCAAAGACAGGGGCTTTCTTCTGGAGCCAGCCTAGGGAGCCCCAGCCCATAKCTCCTGAATTAACTTTCCTACTGTTTGCCTCATCCTCAATTCTCTACAAGTTACTTGAGGAAAAGCCCCAGTTCTGTCATCTGGCTCCCCCTCTGCCCAGGTCTCCCTTCAAGTCATGATGTATGAACCACCAGGTGGAGCCAGAGCATACCTGCTTGGAGTTTGAAGTGAGACCACAGGTCTTGTCCTAGGGGCACCTAAGGAACTCTGCTTTGGATTGAGCCTTAGGTTTGTGTCAGTCCTGAGAGTGAAGACAAGAGGACATGCTTGCCCAGGGCCCATTCCCCCCTTCTGGTCTATGCTTGGGTAATTGGGTCCCAGCTCAGGAGCCACGGGGCTGAGTCAACAGAGTCAGAGGGAGCTTGAACCAGCTGTGCTATGCATGAGCAGAGGGCCCTCAGGACAGGCAAGGGAAGGGGTCTGAGAATGGGATGCCCTCCCCATATGGCCACATCCTGGGGAAACAAGACACCAAGAATTCTCAACTTGAGCCTCCTGCCCTCAGTCTCGGTGTTTTTGTCAAGGAAGGAAACTAGACAATTTTATTCATCCGTTTCTTTATTGGGAGTGGGGTTGCAGACAGGGTAGCCCAGGGCCTTGTGTATGCTAGGCAGGTGCTCTGCCACTGACTTACAATCCCCAGCACACGAACTGACTTAAAACTTTGTGAAAGTTAGACACAGGTTGTGTGGGCCTCCACTCGTGCTCTTGGGCTGGCTCTATAATGTTAGCAGTGGCCTGCCAACCTGTGTTTCAGGAGGTGCATCCATCCCATCTGGGGCCAACCCTGGGGAGGCTCGCAGTCCCGGGCCATTTCTCTAGGGAAATGGCCCCGGGGGCTCCTGTGCTGCTGCTGCTGCTGCTGCTGCTGGGGCTGCTGCTGCTGCCGCCACTGCCAGGGCTCCCGCCTCGCGCCGCGGGCTGCCCCGCCGCCTGCCGCTGCTACAGCGCCACGGTTGAGTGCGGCGCCCTGCGGCTGCGCGTCGTCCCACTGGGAATCCCCCCAGGGACGCAGGTGGGCACCACGTGGGGCCACCGAGCCTCGGGTTGGAGCAGGCTGCGAGTGCCCATGGGATGGAGGGAGCCTTGTGTGAGCATCCGGGTGGGGTCGGTGGGGCGCCCCAATGGAGCGAGAGACTCCTGCAGTGGGGTAAGATTCGCCCTCCCCCGGCCCGCAGACGCTGTTCCTGCAGGACAACAACATCGCGCGCCTGGAGCCAGGCGCCCTGGCGCCACTCGCCGCCCTTCGCCATCTCTACCTGCACAACAACAGCCTGCGTGCTCTGGAGTCTGGCGCTTTCCGCGCGCAACCGCGCCTGCTGGAGCTGGCCCTCACAGGCAACAGGCTACGTGGCTTGCGGGGAGGGGCTTTTGCGGGCCTAGCCCAGCTGCGTGTACTCTACCTGGCTGGCAACCAGCTGGCGCGGCTGCTGGATTTCACCTTCTTGCACCTGCCGGTGAGAGGCCAAAAGCGCGGGATCTTCTTGTCCTGGCAGTCATCCAGCGCGCTGTAGTAGTTGTTAGGGGAGAAAAGTCAACCTAGTCTATAGCTCCCCTGGGCCCTTTTTCCTGATGATCTGCTGTCCCTACTCCAGCGACTGCAGGAGCTGCACCTGCAAGAAAACAGCATTGAGCTGCTGGAGGACCAGGCCCTGGCAGGGCTCTCCTCCCTGGCCCTGCTTGACCTCAGCAGGAATCAACTGGGCACCATCAGCCGTGAGGCCCTGCAGCCCTTGGCCAGCCTGCAAGTCCTGCGCCTCACAGGTAACTCCTCAGGCAAGCGTCTCTAACTGGGCTCAGTGGCATCAGTAGGGAGAAGGCCCAGGTGTGGAGGGGGTCCCTATGATAAACCATTGGGCAGCATTTTGGAGGGCCACACCACCACCCTGCAGTTCTGGTAAAGGGCAGCTGGGAACTGAAGTTCTGATAGATACATAACTTAGGCACCTGCCTAAGACAGAAAAGGTAGGTGATCCAGAATGACTTAACAGAATTGAGGTTCTTTCACATTTTGAGGGCAGGAAATGGCAGGTAGGCCAAAGAGCTGACCAGGATTGGGGGTGTTTCCAGGAGAGGGCATCTGTTTTAAAGTTTCAGTGTTGCTGGAATATCTGTGTGGGCATCATTGAACTAAAGTGGAGTGAAAGGCCTTCCTCATTCCCAGCAAGCGGGGTTYAGAGAAGAAACTCCACTGGGGTGGCTATAGGAGGTGGGGTGTGGGCTTCTGCCGGGGCCAGCAGAACCTCGACTGTCTTCTCGATCTGCCTACAGAGAACCCATGGCGCTGTGATTGCGCCCTCCACTGGTTGGGCGCTTGGATCAAGGAGGGGGGTCAGCGACTGTTCAGCACCAGAGACAAGAAGATCACGTGTGCAGAGCCACCGCGTCTGGCACTGCAGAGTCTGCTGGAGGTGTCGGGCAGTAGCCTCATCTGCATTCCTCCCTCTGTGCACGTGGAGCCGCTGGAACTCACAGCCAACCTAGGGGAGGACCTGCGGGTGGCCTGCCAAGCCTCTGGCTACCCGCAGCCCCTGGTRACCTGGAGGAAGGTGCCTCAGCCTCGTGAGGGCCGTCCGCAGGCGCAGGCCCAGCTGGAAGGCGGAGCGCCAGGCCTGGGTGGCCAGGCCGCCCCGGACACCGGCAGCGGGATGCTCTTCCTCACCAACATCACCCTGGCGCACGCGGGAAAGTACGAGTGTGAGGCCGCCAACGCCGGAGGCGCCGCGAGCGTGCCCTTCCGCCTCCTGGTTAATGCGTCCCGGCAGCCGCCACCGGCCCCGCCGCCACGCCCCCCAGGCCGCGCCCCGAGGCACGAGGCGGGCAGTATGGCGTTTCGAGCGCTAGGCCTGGCCACGCAGACAGCCATCGCGGCGGCCATCGCGCTACTAGCGCTCACGGCGCTGCTGCTGGCCGCCATGATCTGCCGGCGGCGGCGGCGGAGGAAAAAGGCGGGCGCGCAGCCAGGAGAGGGCGCGCTGTTCGTCAACGACTACTCGGACGGACCCTGCACCTTCGCGCAGCTGGAAGAGCTGCGCGACGAGCGCGGCCACGAGATGTTCGTCATCGACCGCTCTAAGCCCCTATTCGCCGAGGGGCCGCCAGAAGCGCCTATSGAGGGCAGACCGCCAGAAGGGCCGCCCCCCTCACTCCGCGTCCCGCCGCGAGTCGCTTACGAAATCCACTGCTGAGCCGGCGGCGCGCGCCAATGACGCGAGAGCCGTTCATTGGCCCGCGTGGCGCAGCGCATGCTCATCAGTAAAGGTGGAAGCTGCGTTGGAGCACCGAGCTGTGGGGCGCCTGCAGACAGAGCCATGAGGGGCCGTGACCTGGAAGGTCCACGATGCCTGGGGATGGCCCTGGCCTGCAGTGCTGGTGGGGTTACGCGGCCAGAGGGAGGGGCAGCAGGCCAGATGCTAGTTGATTCCCAGTAGCCATGCTGGGGATATAACAGAGGTGGGGAAGTCACACTGGCCAGTTGGAATAGAATAAACAGGCAAAGATTCAAACTCCAGACACACTGCACTTTTGTACCTTGACACCACCCTCCAGCCCCATAGCTGGCTGGCGGGGTGGCTGTGGCGCCAGGGCAGGGAACACGGTACAGGCCAAAGGCTGCATCAGGGCCTAGGCCTCGCCCCCCCTTCGGCCCCCCAGTGCTGCACTCTTGGTAAGAAGATGCAAAGGGCCCGGAAGTGTCCCTTGGATAACAGCTGGGATCCCAGGTACAGCCACAGAGAGCCAAGTGCAGCTATACTGAGCAGGGTAGTGCAGGCCTGAAATCCAGCACGGGGCCCACAGTCAGCCAGCCATTAGGGAGCACGTGCAGGGCACTGCAGAAAGCATGGGATGCTTAAAGTGTGCCCAGGAGCAAGGCAGACTCTGCAGGAAACCTGAGACCAGTCTTTGTTGTCAGGCCTCCAGCAGAGTCCCAGCAAAAGSTCTTCACTTGTCTCATCCAAAGCCAGGAGGTCACAGGCTGAAATAGTCTGCAGCTAGTCGCCCATAGATGTCTGTGGTCCAGAGCACATGGGCACGGCCTGAGGCCAGCAACAGCTGGTGCAACTCAGCTTCTACACGGGCAAACTTCTCCTCATTGATGGAGGCTTCCAGAAGGACAGATGCAGGTGGAGGCCAGGGCAGGCCCTCATAGCAATCCACRGGGAAGGGGTGAACCACGGTGCGCAGCTCAGCCTGCACCGCTGAGTCCCGCAGCAGCTCCTTGAGGCCAGCCATGGATAGCGGGTTGCCATAGAGGCCAAGGTAGCGGAGACTGGCACAGCGGGTCAAGGTGGGCAGTGTGGCTACTAGCTGGGCATCAGCAAGCTGGCACTCAGTCAGCTCAAGATGCAGCAGTGTGGCTGCTGCTGCCTGCAACAAACCCTGGAAAGGCACTAGCTGACTTCCTGACAGATCATTACCACTCAGGTCCAGCTTCTTTAGGTGAGCAGCATGGGAGCTCCTTGCCAGGAAGCGCAGGTCCTCAGGCAGCAGAGCACAGAAGGCCAGCTCCAAGCTCTCCAAGGGGCTCTGCAGGGTACTGTGGGGACACAGGGGTCACAGACAAGTAGGCCCAGGGAGTGTCCCCATGGAGGGAAAGGGTAGAGCATTGATGGGGCCCACTCACCTGAGCAGCTGGTCCAGCCTGCCTGAAAGGAGAGAAGAGCCCATGCTGAGCTCCCGAAGACAGGTGAAGCGGCCCATCTGGGCCAGGAAGTAGCGGAAGTTGTCCTCACCATCTACAGAGGGCTGCCTTGAGTCCCCATGCACATAGTGTAGTCGCAGGCTGGCCAGGTGCTGGAAGCGAGCCACATGAGGGATGATGACAGACAGGCCACGCAGGCCCAGATTGTTGAAGCGGAGGTCCACTCGGCGCAGGCAGCCTGCGTCCAGAAGCTGCAACAGGGCCACAGTGTTGCGCATGGGCAGGTCCTCAGCCCGGAGGTCCCGGCAGCATAGCCGCAGAGGGCTACCCACGCTGCTTCGGAGAGCCTCACGCAGGAATGAATAGGAGGCCCGGTTCACCCGAAGGTCCACACGAACCTCCACAGGGATAGGGGCTGGTCCAGGTTCAGCAGTCCTGCTCTGTTGCTGGGCAATGCATGTGCGGGCCACAGCTGCTGTGCAGTCCCACATGCTCATAGTACCAGGGTCCTGCTCCACACCATCATCCAAGAGACCAGTCATGTCCAGCACCCGCAGTGTGTGCTTCCTAGAAGTAGGGATGGCCTGAGATGGGATGAGAGAGCAGGGCCTACAACCCCTCCCAGCCACTTTGGGACAAGAACAACAGTCTGCTGCCACACAGAGCTCTTGGAACTTTACACCCCAGCCTATGCTCTCCTCAGGGAACCCTCTTTGTAACTCCAGGCCTGAAGTCCCCACAGGTAAGTCCATACCTACAGAGGGAATGTGTGCCAKCTTCAGCTTCTGGGGTGTGGAACCGAGCAGTCAGCCCCAGGATTACAGCTTGCATGCTCTCAGTGCTGGGTCGCTCCTGCAGCAATGCCCGGCTACAGTGAGCACATTCCTGCAACAACTGCTGGAAGCTGAGCAGTGGGAAAGGCCATGTGTGCACCAGCTCACGAAGTACCACAGTCTTCTTGTCCATGAAGGCCACCTTGAATAGCAGGGGAAAGAGCTCTCGGGGCAGCAGAGGCAGGGCCTGGCAGGCAGYTGGCTGGCACTGGAGCACCTGCCGAGTGCTCAGGAACACAAGTGTGTGCATGGCGCTRGGCCGTGCAGGCAGCCACCTGCAGGAGAGGAGCTTCAGTGAAGAAAACCCTAGAATACCACTAGGTCATATCCACTCTATACACCAGTGGTGAGAAAGCCCAATATGGTGCCCAACTGGAGCAGACAGTGGAGAACAGTGACACAGAGAAGTACCCACTTAGGTACCTGGCACTGGCTGGGCAGAGTGGACCAGGGACAAGGCCACACCCCAGACCCCAATCTCCAGAAGCAAAAGGCTTTGTTAGGAAAACAAAGCATCGTAGTACATAAATGGTGTGTCACCACTGAGTTTACTTGTGCTTCTACAGATGGTTACTGCTCTGCAGAGGCCCCATTGGCCCCAAATCACAAAGCTGTTTCAGAAATCCTTCCTCAAAAGTAGAATAGAGCCCAGGCCCCTCCCTGTAGCCCGTTGTCAGCCTGCAGCAGATGGAGTTCTCCCAGGGGGGCCTGCAGCCCCCTCACAGCTCCCTCCCTCATCTTCCTCACAGATGTATTTGAGGGCTGCTCTCAGATTTCACAAAGCACAGACACAGCTTAATAACATCAGGGCTTAAAAGATTAAAACCTGGGAAACAGAGTTAAAATGACATGGCCTGGGACCAAGGCCCTCAACGTTAGCCCAAGGGATAATTACTGTTTTCTGGGATGTCACCAGGGATGGAAACCCCCGAGAAAAAGCAAGTCTCACCTTCTGTGACCCTTGCCACCTGTCTAAGCATCTCTCTTCTTCCCTGAGGAATCAACGTGGAGAGAAACCAAGGATTCAAAAAGGCCCAAGCCTGAGCTTGCTCAAATGAGGCACAAACAGCACACAAACTGAGAAGATGCATGCAAAAGACCCGAGGTTGCAGAATATCTGCGACACAAGGGCTCGGCCCTGCTTCCTGTGGGCCAGCCATCTTACCCTGAACCCCCTCCTACAGTTAGGAAAGCTAAGGCCTCGGCCTTGACCAAGGTCACAGCCCAGGAAAGGGGCAGAGAGGATTCCAGCCACAGGGCCTTGAGCTTACTGACCTCTCGAGGCCAAGCCCTTCAGGAGCCACTTCTGGGAAACCCCGTATGCCCACACTGGGCTTGGCGCTCCCGTGCACAAATCTCGCGAGGACGATGCATACCTCGGTGACAAGACAGACGGAATGAGCACCTGTCGCAAAAGGAAACGAAGGCAGCCGACCTGGCCGCCCGGAGAAGAGTCTACGCGATGCCCCCGTTCGTCCGGCGCTGGAACAAGCGCAAAAGGCCCCTGTCGGGCTCCTACGGAACCTCAACCTGACGACCCTCCGCCGCCCGAGCAGGTCTGTTCCCCCAGGCCTGGCGAGTCCCAGGCGACCCCGAGGCCGTTCTCACGGCGTGGGGGTCTCCCAGGCCGTTCCCGCCCCCAGCGGCACCGCCCAGGCTCACAAGCGCCAGCCCTCGCCTCCCCGGCACGAGCGCCCGGCGCTACGCCCCTTTGTCCAGTGAGTCCTGTCGACGCGCCGCATCACTTCGGCCCAAGCCCGGCGGCCCGCGCTCACCGGCCCCAGAGCCACCACCAGTCTCCAACCCCACCTCGGCCGTCCACCGGCCCCGCCCAGTTCCGCGGCGCGCGGCGATGACGTAGACACAACCCATTGGTCGACCCTACAGGGCCCGGCGGATTGGTCATCCGTCCCAGCGGCCCCGCCCCAGCCCTGCCGCGCAGCCCCATTGGCTGGTAGACCGACGTCGCTGTTGTGGCGGGAAGATTCGCAGGACGCGGGACCGGATCCCTATGGAGCGGCTGCGGGACGTGCGGACGCGACTACAGGAGTGGGAGCGCGGGTTCAGGCGGCAGCACCGGCGGCGGCCCGGCCAGGTACGAGCTGTAGTGGGAGGGGAGAGCTGTAGAGGGCGCAGCCTCCGTTTGACACGTTCCCTTCACAGGAAGACGTGGAGGCAGCGCCCGAGGACGTCCGCGGTGAGCAGTGCGATACCGGGGACCGCGGAGCGCGGGACGGCCTGCCGGGGAACGGGGGAGCGAGGTGATGCGGACCCCGCCCTGACCCCGACTCCCGTCCTCCCACCCACCCAGCTCTCTACCGGGAGTACCGCGCCCTAAAGCGGTCGGTGGTCCATGCCGGCGGCGGGCTCCGCAGCTCCGAGCCGTCGCTCTCAGCGGAGGAGGTACCTGAGCCCGTGACCCCAACCTGCCGGTCAGCTTCCTGTATGGCCGGGTGTTGGGAGCCGAGAGCAATCTCAGCCAAGCCTCCGGAGCATAGAACTTGGGAGGAGGATAGAGCCACGCCTTCCTGCTGGGGGTGGGTGTTGCAGACACCTCAGCCAGCCTTTTTCTGGTCTGGACCCCTACTTCCTCCTCCTGAAGGTTCTGGAGGCCAGCTGCTGGGGACCCCACCTGAATCGGGCAGCAACCCAGAGTCCACAACCTACTCCACAGATGAGCCCGCGGGGATCTGTGCAGGACTATGGAAAGAGGCTCAAGGCCAATCTCAAGGTCATACTACAGGTGAAAAGTGGAAGTGGGCTGCAATACATTCGAGCTGGGCCCAGAGGTKCCCTAGACCCAGAGGCAGGCCTTTGTGTCCACCTTTCCACACTATGTGCAGGCACGGGCAGGGCCGCCGTGTTGGTTAGGGCTTGACTACCAAGTGGTACTCAAAGATAGCCTTTGCCCTCAGTCTTGTTCCACAGTCAGGTTTGTGCATCTTACCTTGCGCTGTCATTGAGACTGGGGTCTCTTTTATCCTCCCTGTCCCAGGCTGAGCCAACACTGGGCCGCAGACTCCAGCCTCCACGAAGACCCTTGTCCAAGATGCCCACCACAGGTCCACCCAGCCCAAGGACTGCCCCCACTTCTCCAGAAGAAGTCAGTGGTGGCACACTTCCCCAGCCATCTGAGCCCAAGCGAAGTCCAGGCCGGCTCCAGCAGCTTCGGGCATCTCTGAGACTGCGGCTGGGCTCCCTAGACCCTGGCTGGCTTCAGCGGTGCCACAGTGGACCCTTAGATTTTCTGAAGCCCCCCAGTGCCTGCAGTCCTGGCCTGGGTAGAAAGGAGTCACAACACCTGACGTCGGGAGAGCTTCTTGTCTTTGGTCCCAATACTTGCTCTGAGGAATTCTCACAAGGTCCAGAGACCCCAGCCCCCCCACAGGCAGCCCAAAATGGTATGGGGAGCCCTCAGCCCAGCAACCCTCAAGGCAAGAAGCCAAAGTGGAGTGAGAATGGAGGGAGCCCTGTGCAGTCCCAGCAGGACATCAGCCAAACAGGACCCTTGTCTGAGGGGACAGGGGCTGTAGCACTTGAAGAAGACCTTCCAGGGCAACCTGTACAGGCCCAGCCATCTCAGCCCTGTAGCAGTTCCTCAAGTCCATCTAGGACAAAGAAGCCTAAGGGGATGGCCCATACGTGGTCCCGTAGACCAGCTGTCCGGGACAGAAGTAATTATGTCCGGCTCAACATGAAGCACAAACGTTATGTGTGGGGTGGGGCCCTTCGAGGTAGGCTCCTCCGCAGGCAGGTGAGATGGGCATAGCAGGACAAGGGTGGGCCTTCCCCATACCTCTCCCATCTCCCTTTTACGTGATTCTCTCTTGTGCGCCCTCCTCAGGCATGGAAACAGAAGTGGCAGAAGAAAGGGGAGTGTTTTGGGGGTGGTGGGGCCAGACCCCCAGCCAAGGATTCTTGTTTCCAGTCTGGGCCGTTTGGCCGCTGGGTTCCCCAGTGCTCCAAGCCAGGTGAGGCCTCCACCCTGATAAATGGGAGGGACCAGTGCTGAGCAGGGAGGACTGAGCCCCTTTGGGAGGCACTTCTACTCAAATAATGCYCTGTCATCTCCTCACCCTTGGCCCAGGCCCCACTCTGACCCTTCAGAAGGAGATTGGCAAGAACAGGGACAACATGCAGTCCTTTCCTACTTTGGAAGAAGCAGCCTGGAGAACAGACACTGCTTGCTGCCACCTCCCCAGTGAGTCAGGGGAGGAGGGTGGTTATACCCAGTGGCCTCTGTGCCAGGCTGTTTCAGTGCAGCCTGGAGCCCCCAAAATACCTTCTCTTGTCTGCCCAGTTGGTGAGAACACAGGACTTGCTGGGCCTGAGCTACAGGTGTGTCCCCCATCCCAGCACGCCCCAGTGCTACCACTCTACCCACCAGGGCCCTCGGGACAGGTAGCAGGTGAGCAGAAACTTACTGTACCAGAGCCTTTACCTCTGGGTGGGGAGACTTTGGAGGCCTTACTGACCAACACCTGTGTCCACAGAGACACCAGCTGAGGTGTTCCAGGCCCTGGAGCAACTAGGGTACCGAGCCTTCCGCCCAGGGCAGGAGCATGCAGTCATGCGGATCCTGTCCGGTGAGTGTGGCCACTGGGGACTGGCTCTAGCCTTTGGACACAGCCTTGCAACTGCCTCTTGTCTGGCCTAGGCATCTCCACACTCCTGGAGCTACCTACAGGTGCTGGTAAGTCCCTGTGCTACCAGCTTCCTGCCCTGCTGTGCGCCCGCCGCAGCTCCTGCCTCACACTGGTGGTCTCCCCGCTCCTGTCGCTCATGGATGACCAGGTGTGTGGGTCAGGTGTTGGGAACCAAAGCCTCTGGTGCCCTAGGGTTGCTTTCTGTTCCCTGAACACCAGGAGCTACAAGGTGTTCTGCTCACCTGTGCCCAAGGGTAACAGGGCCTGACCCCCAACACCCACCATCAGGCCCCTGAGCTTCAGGGCCCTAGGCCCAGGGCTCTCTTACAGACCCTCCCAAAGCTTGGAAGTAAAAGTGGTCCAAAAGAGGGGTGCATTTTGGGGTGGTGGCCCACAGCCTCAGCTGAGGATTCTTGGTTTTGGTGTGGGGTAATTTGGCTGGGCATCACAGTGCCCCCAGCCAAGTGAGACGGCTGCCCTAGGGAATGGGCAGGGCCAATGCCTTTATCCCAGAACCCAGGATCTGGTGCTTCTCCCAGGGAGCCTGTTGAGTTGAGTACCTGCAGAATTCAGGGGAGAGCCAGGATTGGACTCGCCTGTAACAGCACTGCCTCTATCTGCAGATGTCCAGCCTGCCCCCATGTCTCAAGGCAGCCTGCCTCCACTCAGGCATGACCAAGAAGCAGCGGGAGTCTGTTCTGCAGAAGGTCAGGGTATCCCATGGATGGGGGTCTGTGGGTAGTCATCTGGGTAGTGCCCCTAACCCTGATGCCTTCAGGTGCAGGCAGCCCAGGTGAATGTGCTGATGCTGTCCCCAGAGGCACTGGTTGGGGCTGGGACTGGCGGCCCTGCCAGCTTCCTCCAGGCCTCCCAGCTGCCCCCCATGGCCTTTGCTTGCATTGATGAGGCCCACTGCCTCTCTCAGTGGTCACACAATTTCCGGCCTTGCTACCTGCGCATCTGCAAAGTGAGTCAAGGGGGGGGTCAGGGTGGGTGGTGGATGGATAAGGGCCCCATGGGCTGGGTGGCCTCACCATCACCCTTCCCTTCTGATGCAGGTACTTCGGGAACACATGGGTGTACGCTGTTTCCTGGGTCTCACAGCCACAGCCACACGCAGCACTGCTCGTGATGTAGCCCAGCACCTGGGTGTAGCCGAGRAGCTTGGCCGGGGTGGGCCAGCCCCCATCCCTGCCAACTTGCACCTGTCTGTGTCTGTAGACAGGAACCCACACCAGGTAGGTGTGCACATAGCAGGGTCCTGGGCAGAGAGCCCACATCCTGCCTGCCGAGTGACCACTGCTCCCTGCCAGGCTCTGGTGACGCTGCTGCAGGGTGACCGCTTTCGTGCCCTGGATTCAATCATCATTTACTGCAACCGACGGGAGGACACAGAGCGAGTTGCTGCACTTCTCCGAACCTGCCTGTGTGCAGGGCAGGACCCAGGCTCTAGAGGTAGGGCACCACAGGGTAGGCCCCAGGGCCACCCCGTGTGCCAGCCCTGATGCCACCAGCCATCTCTCCATCTTCCCCAAGGTCATGCCCCAGAGACTGTAGCTGCAGCTTATCATGCTGGCATGTGCACCCGGGAGCGGCAGCGAGTGCAGCGGGCCTTCATGCAAGGCCATCTGCGGGTGGTGGTGGCCACCGTGGCCTTTGGCATGGGACTAGACAGGACAGATGTGCGGGCCGTGCTGCACCTGGGGATGCCCCCAAGCTTTGAGAGCTACGTGCAGGCTGTGGGCCGTGCTGGACGTGATGGGCAGCCTGCCCATTGCCACCTCTTCCTGCAGCCCCAGGTTGGCACCCTGCCATCCCTCACACCAGGCCAGCCCCTGGTGCCCTGGCCTCACACAGACTCATAGCTCTGCTTCTACAGGGCAAGGACCTGCAGGAGCTGCGTAGGCACGTGCACGCCAACGGTGCCGATTTCTTGGCCCTGAAAAAGCTGGTACAGCGCCTGTTTCCACCCTGCTCCTGTACCCCACAGCCTCCAGAGCAGGAAGGAGGCAGGAATGGGATGAGGTCCACAGCTGGGGCCCCCCCGCAGGAGGCCAAGCAGCACAGTGGCCACTCAGCAGCCCCAGTGCGGGGACAGGTCTGCCCTGGCCATGCACGAGCACTCCCAATACAGCAAACAGTGCAGGCCCTGGACATGCCAGAAGAGGGTAAGGGCCGGGAAGATGGGGGAGGGGGCCTGTCCCCACACCACCTGAGCCCACTCCCCCCTACAGCCATCGAGACCCTGCTGTGCTACCTGGAGCTGCATCCCCGGCACTGGCTGGAGCTGCTGCCAACCACTTATTCCCGTTGTCACCTGCGCTGCCCTGGGGGCCCCACCCAGCTCCAGGCACTGGCCCACAAGTGAGTACACAGCACCCCAGGTCAGGGATATGGACAGAGGGCCAGGGATGCTAATCACATGCCCCTTTCCTCTGGAGCACAGGTGTCCTCTTGCAGCTGCATGCTGGGCCAGGTGGCCACCTGAGGACATGGGGCCAGGCAGCTCCATGGAATTTGATGTGGTAGAGCTGGTGAACTCGATGGGCTGGGAGCCGGCATTGGTGCAGCAGGCTCTCCGTCAGCTGCAGTGGGACCCAGAGCCCAGGACAGGTGTGCTTGCCCCTACTCCCCCACCTGACTGCCTGCCACCCATCCACCCTCCCACCAATCCACCCTACATCTGATACACTCTGGCAGGTGTGCCGCGGGGAACAGGGGTGATTGTGGAGTTCAGGGAGCTGGCGTTCCACCTGCGCAGCCCTGGTGATCTGACTGCTGAGGAGAGGGACGAGGTATGCGACTTTCTATTCAACCGCGTGCAGGCCCAAGAGCGCAAGGCCCTGGCACATCTGCGCCGAATGTCTGAGGCCTTTCACAGGTAGGAAGTGGGTGAGCAGGTGCTGGGACCATCCATTCTGTCCCCATGCGCAGTCTCGATAGGCTCCTCTCACCCCTGCACCCCAGTGTGGCCTTCCCCAGCTGTGGGCCCTGCCTCGAGCAGCCTGACATGGATCGCAGTGCCCAGCTGAAGGCCCTACTCAGCTGCTACTTCGAGGAAGAGGAAGAGGAAAGGGAAGAGGGAGGGATAGAGGAGCAGGGCCCAGAGCCTGGGCAGGTCCAGGTGAGTGTAGCCCCTCTGGGGTGATCTCCAAAGCCAAGGATGGTGTCAMACCCATATCCCTGATTTGGACAGTTCACACCCCTACCTAGCCTGTCCACAGGCTTGGCTATGTTGGACGAGGTTCTCTGGAAGCTCAGGGAAGTCTGATGTGCTTGTCCACCCACAGCTTCAGGACTGGGAGGACCAGGTCCGCCATGACATCCGCCAGCTCCTGTCCCTGAGGCCAGAAGAGAGGTTTTCCAGCAGGGCCGTGGCTCGTATCTTTCATGGCATTGGTGAGGGCTCCAGGGGCTGCCTGATGCAGACAGGGCTAGGGACAGGAACCAGCCCACCTTAGGTCTGTGTCTTTCTGCTCCACCACAGGAAGCCCTCGATACCCAGCCCAGGTATATGGGCAGGACCGGCGCTTCTGGAGAAAGTACCTACATCTGAGTTTCCATGCCCTGATGCGCCTGGCCACAGAGGAGCTCCTACTGGTTGGCCGATGACTGCCCTGCTCACAAGGCTGCTGCCCCCATGTAGGACAGGTAGACACGTGGCCACTCCTCAAGGCAGCAGTGCAGCTGTCAATGATCAACACAGTACTGAAATCTGCCAGCAAGTGAATTGTGACAAAGAGGTTCCAAAATGCAGAATAAAAGGGGTTTGAGTTGTTCTCATGGGCCCTCCTTTCCAGCAAGGCAGCCCTTAGTCTGAGGACAACTGTGCCTCACATACTGCAGACACATTCAGGCTAAAGGCACACTCGGCTTTATTGACAGTCCTACCGCCCAGTTCAGGCCAGGGTGCTGGGTGCCAGGCTGAGGTCCAAAAGGGGCAGTGCTGAGAGCACAAGAAAGACGGTGAAGCAGGGATGTGGGCCCAAACCATCAGCCAGCATTCCAGCCAGGGCACCCATCAGCAACTTGCCCAGCAGCTCCAGAGTGGCCAGGAGGCTATAGTGCGTTGCCTGGGGATGGGGTGTATGGTCAGAGCCTCAGGCCTTCCCAGCTCCTGGGTGTCCCTGCCACATCCCCTCACCTGAAGGGCCCTGGGTGCCAGCTGGCTGCAATGCATCATCACAGTGAAGGTGGCCGTGGTGACCAGGCCCCCCAGGAAGTGCTGTAGACACAGGCTCAGCAAGGCTGCTCCTGAGAGAGGAGAGGTCAGCAGGGCCCAGAACTCCTGGACCCTCCACCCCCAAAGCCAGCCCCTCACCTCTTAGGAGTGTGCCAGGGCCCACACTGGCCCCTGGAGTGTCCAGGTAGAAGAGCAGGGCAGTCTGGCAGGCCAAGCCCCCAAGGCGGAGCTGCAACACTGACCTCAACAGAAGGAGTGGCTCCCTGGGGTTGGGGTGGGAGTGGGGAGGTTACAGGTCAGAGGATCTAGGACAGGGCCAGGGGTGAGGAGCAGGCAGGGCAGGGCAGGCTGAAGAGGGCTTACCAGTGCCTGGCCAGTAGGGCTCCACCCAAGGAGGATCCAGTGATAGAGCAGGCCACAGCACCCAAGCCATTCCAGAGTCCCAGCTCTGGGGCAGAAGCACCATGGTCCAGTAGGAAGAGCGGAAATAGACTGCCAGCGCCCTGCTCACCTGCAGGAGAAGCAGCAATCCCCATGCCTGCCCCTACTTCTCTTCTCCCCACCTGGGCCCCTGCCCTGCCCCCATTATCCTGGGCCACAGGTGCTGGGAGAGAAATGCTCTGGGCATTTGGTGGAGCCCAGGGTCAGCAGAAAACAACACCAGAGCAACTCAAGGGGCTAGGAATCGGGCTGGAGCTGAGGGAGGACAAGARGCAAGGCTGGGTTCTGGAGCCAGCCCAAGAAAGAGGGCGGCCCCTTAAGTGGGTCCCTGAGGCCTCGGGGACCCACCTGGAGCTTTCCCCGAGGCCCCGGTCCTGTTGTTGCCTGGCTTGAGGCTTAACTCACCCAGCTTGTAGGTGAGCACAAAGCCTGCTGTCCACAGGGTCTCAGGAGCAGCCAGCAAATCCTGCAGGTGTGGGGTGTGCTCTGAGGGCCGAGGCCATGGTAGCTGGTGCAGCGCTGGTGCAGTCCAGGCCAGTGCAGCAGCCAGCCAGTAGGTGGCAGCCAGGAGCACAAAGACCAGTGGCCAAGACAGAGTGGGCAAGAGAACCAGCAGTCCGCCCCCAGCCAGCGCTGCCCCCAGCTTGTAAGCGACCACCTGCACGGTGTTGCCGGGTCCCAGCTCGGCTGGATCCAGGAGCTGGACGGCCAGTGTATCCARGGCTACGTCCTGCACAGCTGCACCAAGGTTCAGCAACAGCAGCAGCCCCATCACGGTGGCGGGCAGCGCGTCCTGGCTAGCTTGGTTGGGAGGCAGTGCGGCCAGCAGCCCACATACCAGGCCTAGAGCCGCTGTGCTGAGCGTCAGCCAGGTCCGCGGGGAGCCCCGTCTGTCCACCAGTGGGGCCCACGCCAGCTTGAACAGCCATGGTGCATACAGACCTTTGGCTAGACCCACGCGCGTCAGGGAGAGGCCGCGGGCCCGCAGCAGGATGGGCAGCAGGCCGGACTGCAGCCCATAGGGCAGGCCCTGCACCAAATAGAGACTGGCCAGCGGCAGCAGCTTTCCGTGCATGGTCAGTGTCAGAAGGGCCCGGGCGGGCTCAGGCCGGGAGCCAGGCCCCGGTGGGGTCTGACACGGCATTGTCCCATCCGCACCGGGTCAGGGGCARGGTAAGCTGGGGCCCGGAAGCGCGCGTTGAGGTCCTGGGGTTGTCGATACCCCAAAAGAACCAAAGCTGGGACAAAGCAGCCAGTAAGAACCAGGGCCTCCACGCCGCAGGAGTGCAGGCTCCTGCAGCCCCGGCTCCCAGCGAGCTTGGCGCGGGGCGGGGCCTGGGGAGGCGAGTAGGCCCCTCTGGGCTGGGCCTCGCGGCCCTCCTCCACGGTCCCCCCAGCCCCGCACCGCTGTCGCGGGCGAGCCTTGTAGTCCCCCCGAGCCGGAGCGGAGTGTGGACGCAAACCGTGGGCGAGAAGCCGCAGAAGCCCCGCGGCCGCCCGTGCCCCGCTCTGGAAAGCCGCGTGAGCCACTGAGATCCTGACAGGCCCAGAGCGTCGGCTCTCTGGCTCCCAGGCGCCCCTGGTGGCCAGCCTGAGCAGGGCAGCCCGTTAGCCCCAGATCATGATGTGCAGGAATCCGTGGTGGCCTCCACTGCCAGGGGGCTGGCCTCCACTGCCAGGGGACTGGCCTCCAATATAGGAATCATCCTCTCCGCTCAGTGGTCACTAGCCCTGCCCCACCCCCTATTATCCATCCGCTCCGCTCTATAAGTACCTCCCAGTATCCAGCCCCCTGGAGAAGTGACCTGTCTACTCTTGTTTCCATCACTGGTCCTCCGCTGTGCTTGTGGCTTCAGCCCTCTCCCCAAGGTACTAGCCACCGAGGGCCACGGAAGGCGGGGGTCTTATGTGAAAGGTCAGGGCCAAGGCTCAACCAGAAGGACACAGCCAACCACACTGCCCATACCCTGCGCTCCTGCCGCAATGAGGAGAGCCTGACCAATCAGGCCCAACCCTTCCTGACTCTGATCCTAAAGRGGAGACCCCAGTGCAGTCTCTCCTGCCCAGAGCTGTGCCCTCAGGGGATAAGGAAGCCAGGAAGAGGCTGAGAAATGAGGCCTTGGTTTAAGAACCATCTCCAGCCTGGGCGTGGTRGCCTGTAATTCCAGCAACTCTGGAAGCCAGCAGCAGTAGGATGGCAAGTTTGAGACCAGCTTCAGCAAGACCCTATCTCAAAATTWAAAAAAAAAAAAAAAAGACTGGGGATTGACCCTGGGTTCCATCCCCAGTACCCTCACACCCCCCCCCCGAAAAAAAGTCTCAAAGTCTGTGTATCTCTGCATGTAAGAAGGAGAGCCAGCTTATGTCCGTGGCTTCTGAATCACTAGTGTCCTGTCACTTCCAGAGTCTTGGAGCCCAAATCTTCTCATCTATAAAATGGGACTACCATGCCTACCTCAGAGGAACATTGTTGCAGATCAAATATGATCCACAGCTATGTTTGCAGGGTGCACCCAACAGGCCCTCCATCCTGTGTCTCAGAGGCAAGGACGCGGGACTTCCTCAAGGTACTCTTCCCTCAGCATCCCTTTTCTGCCTCCAGGCCTCCAAGTCAAGAGGGCTCCATTTGCACTAGGATCTCCCCCTCCTCCTGCAGAACCCAGGTGGGCACTGCCACCTTGAGCCCTGTCACTCCCCASTAGGAGGGAGCCCAGCCAGCCCCCTCCTGCCCGCAGGGGAAGAGTAGGGGTGAAGTACACACCTTTTTTCTCCTTCAGAAAAGGCTACTTTTTCTGATGGGGGTTCTCTGGTGCCACTGCCCCTGTGATTCACTATCAAGACTCATCTCCTCCCTGACGGATCTGGGGCTGCCCCAGGAGGCACAGGTGGCCTGTCCTTACTGGTACCATCACCTGATTTTTATGTGACTTGTCAGACCCAGGGAATGGAGAGCCAGCCCACTGAGGTGCTGTGCCCAGGACTAGCAGGTGGACACTAGACAGGAGGGTCCTTCTCTGGGAGCCCACCTTGACCACTGCTCCTGAAGATGGGCCCTGGTATCCCTTAAGTTGGGTCCCCAAGCCTGCACTGAAGGTAGTCGGGGCAGCCAAAGGTGGAGTCATCCCCCAGGGAAGTGGGGCTCACCCCTCCAGAGTCATAACCGCACTCAGCTTTATTAGGAACTGGCAGAGAGAGATGCCCAGCCCCCAAGGGGCAGCAGCAAGTTTTCAGGGGTCCAGAGACCACCAGGTCCCTGGGCACAGTCAGTCCAGGCAGCCCAGCCTGGTCCCTGTGGTGGCCTCAGGAGTACTCCCGGGTGAACTTGGCATGAAAACGGCTCAGCTTCTCCAGCAGCAGTCGAAGCTTCTCCAGGGGGGGCAGAATGGTCATCCTGGAAAGGGCAAGCTGTGAGCCAAAGGGGGCACAGCAGGCACTGGCAGGCTGTGTGGGCCTGGTCTCACCGGAAGTGATAGGTGCCCTCCAGTTGCCCAAAGCCGCTCCCGGGCACCACGCAGATTCCTGTCTCYTCCAGGAGGCGCTGGCAGAAGAACATGTCTGGGGCCAGGCCGAGCTCCTGCGGTGTGGAGGGCGGTCAGAGCTCTATGCCCAGGCCTCCGCCCCACCCTGCCCTGCCCCACCAGACCTGAGCAAGCTGGACCGCCCGGGGGGGCAGCTGCACTCGAGGGAAGGAGTACATGGCACCCTGCACTGGGTTGCATCTGATGCCAGGAGTTTCATTGAAGACCTGCTCCGTGAGCTTGGCCTTGGCCGCCAACTCAGCTAGCACCATTTGCCTCTCCTGCAGCCACGGAGGGGACAATCAGGGCATGGCAGGGACACAATAGCCCTCAATCCTTTCCCCAACTGGCTCGCCAGATGCCCTTGGCCTCATTTCCCTCACCTCCTGGAACTGCGCAAAGGAGGGGTCAGAGGGTGCTGGCGGGCTGACCACCATGTCCAGCAGGGCCTGGCCCGGCACAGGCGGGCACAGCCGCACACTCATCAGCTTCAGCATCTGCCGCTGCACTTCAGGGTCCATGTTCACCACCTCCACGTAGCCACCGCGGAACCCGCACCTGCCAGGTAGGGCAGGCGTCAAGGTCGAGGCCCAGCAGGGAAGAGAGGGCGGGAAAGTGGCTGGAGTCCAAGAACCCCCYACCGGCCCACACGCACTCGCCCATRTAGCCCTTGGAGGCTGAGTGGAAGGAGGCAAGCTCCTGCTGCGTGGAGTACGGTGGGCCCATCTCGGTGAGCACCTTCTTGAAGGAGTAGAACCGCGAGCCCTCTGCGTACACGTTGTCCTGGTACACCTGCAGGGGCGCTGTCGTCACGCGGCCCGGCCGCTGACCCGCAGCCACCCTCCCTGACGCGTCCCTGTACACACCTCATCAGCCAGCAGAAAGAGTCCCTCTTCGAACGCGAAGCGGATCACGGCCTCGATGCACTCCCGGGTCTGCACCTGCCCTGGGGACAGCAGCGCGGCCAGGGTCAACTGCGGGCACCCACCACCCCACCCCTGCCCTCATCTGGACAGTGGGGTTGACTGACCCCTCGTGGTAGGCCTAGGAGCATGCAGCAGCTGGAGGGATCAGGGTAGGTGGGGCGGGGAAGCGGCGCACCGGTGGGGTTGCCGGGGTTGATCACGCAGAGCGCACGTGGGCAGCAGTGGTCACGTGCTTGAGACAGCCTGCGCCGCAGCTCAGCCACATCGAGTGCCCAAGTGCGCTCCTCATCCAGGTAGTAGTCCACCTGCACCGCGTCCAGTTCCGCCAGAGTGGCCGAGTAGAGGGGGTACTGCGGGACAGGGATGAGCACGCCTGTCCGCYGGCGGCCCTCCCCAGCCACCAGCAGCTTCAGCACTGTCTGTGGGCAGGGTGAGGAGCGCGGTGTTGGCAGGGCCAAGGGGCTGCACCCATCCSCTGCCCTGTGGAACCACAGAGCCATTGTGTCCTGCCCTGGCCCAGCCTACCACGATGGCATCACTGGCACCCGTGGACAGGAAGATGTTGTTGGGGTCAGCAGGGATGCCTCCATCTCGCCTCTCGATGTACCGTGCAACATCCTCACGGATCAGCTGGATGCCAGAGCTGATGCTATAGGCCCCTGGACCCCGGCAAGCAGAGCAGAGCAGACCCATGAAAGTGGCTAGTCCTCCCGCAACCCTCCCAAGAGATCCACCCTTCTCTGCTTCTTCCTGGGGCTTGGTCCCCGTCTGGCACTAGCACTCACCCAGGCTGTGGCCCCCGCATGCCTGCAAGATGCGCTGAGCCCTTTGTTTGGCATCCTCGGGGAAGTCAGGGCTGTTCAGGAGATCTGGGTGGACACAGAGGGCCAAGACCTGGGCGGACGGAATGATGAGGTCAGGGCACACTGATGGCTGGAGACAAGGGGACACAAGCAGTACAGGAGCCTCACCTGGCGGAAGAAAGTGATGGGCCTCTGCCCCATGGCCTGTGCATCTCCAATGTTGGCACGGATGACCTCAGTGAAGGGTTTCTTCACACCCTGGCAGGGAAAGGGAGAAGGCAGCCAGATGGGGCACCGCTACCCCCACAGCCCTTGTCCCAAGTGCCACTGGGCCAGAGGCTGATCTAGTAGCAAAGGAGCAGCAGGGGGGTAGCAGGGCCTCAGGACCCTACCTGGCGCAGCTCCTGCTCCAGCTCCAAGGCCCGCAGCACTATGGGGCCACGCACGGCGTACTCCACCTTGCGCACACATGGGTTCATGGAGTCCAGGGTCAGCACCTTCTCCCTCAGCCCATTCCTTGCAGCCCGGCTCTGGTCACCTACTCTCAAGGCCATGACTCTGCTCAGATCAGGCAGGAAGGTGGCTCAGGAGGTGGCAGGCCCAGAGGTGGTGGTGGGGGCAGCAGGGTCCAGGCTTGGGAGCTCAGGATGGGAGAAGGAGCCTGAATCAGGGAGCTCAGAGTAAGAGGACACCCGCTTCACTGCAGCCTGCTGGCTCCAGTGAAAGGGACAGAAAGGGCTGAAGGAGCTGGAGCTGCCTGGGCTCCACCCCATGGTCTGGGCACAGTTCTGCCCCAGGGAGGCAGAGGGCGTGGGTGAGGCAGCAGGCGGGGCTTGGGGTGAGTCCCAGTGCCCGCCCAGTGTCCCCATGACAGGAGAGCAGGAGACCCACATGGGGGGTAGGGAGAGACGGCCTTGGTGTTGGGGGAGGGAAGGGCTCAATGCCTGGGCCTGGTGGACCYGAGAGGTTGGCAGAGTTGGGTAGGGGTGACCCCTAAGGTGAGACTGGAGCCAGTAGCCACTGGATTTACCTCAGCAGGGCACTGCTGAGGCCTAGCCCTCTTGGCACCCCCATCTTTTCTTAGGCCAGCAGACAGACCTGTCTCCTAGGTGACAGCCAGGCTTTAGGAATGCTGGGGGGGGGGGCTGGGGGGGACGAGTGAGGAATAGAGACTCTGAGTTCCACCAGGGCAATGGCCATGGCCCAGAGACTACAAGAACACTGCAGCTGGACCTTGGTCCCTGATCAGCATTGCAAGGGACTGGAGGGAGGARGAGGGCTGGAGACAGGGCAGGCCAACCCTGGACCCTCGAACCCCTTGCCCCAGGTTGCCCTCACACCCTTTCAACACACATTAGCCTGGGGTTGCCCTTGGGGCCACACCCCAGGCATTGGGGAGGAGGGGTAGCCTGTCACCTTCCCTCCCTCCTGATTGGCGGAGAGAGCAGGAAGTAAACTGCGATAGGCCCCCAGAACCCCACCTCCACAGGCTCGCAGGCCATTCCCAGGGTTGGCCTTTGCAGGCTGCCAGGCCAGCCAGATCCAAGGGTGAACTGACAGATAGGAAGCCAGTCCTCTGAGCTGGGCAGTAGCAGCTGGTTAGACCGAGGGGAGCCTTGGCTCCTCTGCTTCTGCAGATTGGGAGAGAAGCCACCAGGAGTTCTAAGTGGGGAACGCACGCGCGCGCGCACAGACACACAGACACACACACATACCTCTCTCAACTTGCACCTCTCAGTTCTGCTGCCACAATGGCCTCCCAATTCACAGGCCTGTTCCTTTGGCCCTCACATCAGAGGACAGGTTAATATGAGCCCGGCCCCAGTCAGAGCCAGCCACTGCCTGACTTCTGGCATCAGGGCCCAAGTGGCAGCTGTGGTGGTAGGTGGACCTTAGGCAGAGGTACCGCCCCACTCACTAAATTTAACCAGCAGCTAGCCCCTGGCCCTCCCCCCAGACCTGCTAAGGGCAGCAACCCTCCAACCACAGATGCTAGAAGGGCAGGCGGGCCCTGGACACTGAGCAGACCAGGTCAGTACCCAGYAAGGAGAGGAGGGTAGCCTAAACTCATACCACCCCGTGCTGGTGGCCATGCAGGGCTGCCTACTGTGGACAGAGAGATGATCGGGCAGTGCCCTCAGCCCTCCAGCTTGAGGCCCCTAAGGGGCCCCTTCATCCTTACACATTGTATCYAGCCAGCTCAGAGCCTGAGTGGCCAAGTGCTTGTCACCTATACCAGCCCAAGCAGAAGTTGGCAGCCAGGGCCCAGGATCAGGGCAACATGCCACGAATTGGGGAACCACTGCCGCTGGGAAGTGCCTGATGCTGGCCGTGCCAGTTTTGCTCTACTGGCTCTGGCCCAGGAATCCTGGAAAAAATACTCCCTCTCTTTGCAGGTCAGGACTCCTGCCCCTTGGTATGGGCCCCCTCAGCTCTGGCCCGAAAAGAGCTTCCTTCTAAAGTACCCTACTGCCCTCAGGAAAACAAAGAGTTAACAGTGCTTCCAGGAAGTCGAATATAGCAGGGAGGGTGTGGGTAAAGGCCAGGCTTCTTGCCCAATGGCCCTTGGGCCTCCCTCCCACACAGGGGCCAGGCCTCCACTTGCGAGCCCCAGCGTGCACCTACAGGCCTGAGTGCTCGTGGGCATGGGCGGCACCTGTAGAGCAGCACCACCTGCCCCTCCCCAGCGGAGACACTGGAAGGCTTGGGCATGGGCGGCACCTGTAGAGCAGCACCACCTGCCCCTCCCCAGCGGAGACACTGGAAGGCTTGACGACAAACACCCCTTTATCAAGCGTCACAGGACAAACACTCTGCAGCAGATGCCTGCAGATACGGCTCTGCCTAAAGTCCATCCCCAACAGAGAGTCCACTGTCCTGAGGGGCAGAAGCTGGGGAAGACTCTGGTGTCTGCCCACCTGCAGTTCCAGGGCACACCCTGAGAGTGGGCCTCCAGGGCAAGCCTCGGGCTGGCCTGGAAATGGGTACAGCCCCTCACATGAGCAAGCAGCAGGGCCTCTTCTCCATCGGGGCCTCCTCAGATGGGGCTGTGAGCTTGAGCAGGGGTGGGTCCCCACCTGCCCTGAAGCCGCAGTCCGGCTGGGAGGACACAGGGTCAGCAGACAAGCCAGATTCAGGCCCCTCAGGCCCCTCAGGCCCCTCAGGCCCCTCAGGCTGTGGTCGCAGGAGCTTGGCAGCAGCTCGCTGGCGTTTGAGTTCGGCCAGGGTGTGGTGGGCCTTGTCCCGGACAAGGGTGTCTGGGGTGGTACTCGCCACCGGGCTCAGCTGGTACGACACACTCCGGTCCAGCCGCTTGGAGTACAGGTGCCGCCCTGGGGGGCCCCCTACTCGGCCATTGTGGGACCTGGCCMCCTCAGGGTCATCTTCCTGTGGGCAGAATCAGGGCCCAAGGCTGTCAGGAGGCAGCTCCTCTTACTGGCCCTGGCCTCAGGATCTAGGCTACACGGTTGTAGAAGAACAACCGTGAGGGGCAGGGGGACAACAGCCCAGCCCTGAGGAGCATGGCCCACCTAGGAGCACAAGGTCACTGGTCCTCCCAGCTCCACACTGGACCAGTGTGAATGGGAAACTCACATACTGATGCCAGGTCACAGCCTAGGACCAACTGCCAAAGCCATGTGGAAGGTGGGCAGCACAAGGCCAGGACTCACCTCTGGGGGGGGCAGCCAGAGCTCTGCGTCTGTCTGRTGGTCCTCATCCTCCTCCAGCGGCTCTGGACTTGGGGGTGGTGGCTGCTGCCACACGATGGCCTCCTGGGCATGCTCCTTGCGGTACAGGTCAGTGCGCTGGGTCAGGCTCACTCGCCTCACCACTTTCCTGGAAGGCCGGGGTGCGGTGGAGGTGAGAGGGGACRCACAGCCTCAGACCCTGCCTAGTTCTGCTGGCAGCTCCACCTGCAGGCTGACATCCCATCCCTCCTGAGGCACAGCCGGGGTGGGGGCTGGGGATGGACTGTGGGGGGAGCTCACCCGCGGCTGCCTGCACTGGAGGTGCGGCGGCGCAGCAGGGAGCGCTGACGGCCCTGAGCTCGCAAGAGTGCATCCTGCTTCTGCTTCAGCTCCAGCAGCTTGGCCCGTACCTCCTCATCACCACATACATCTGAGAGATGACCACAAGCGTCACAGGGGCCCTCCCTGCCTGTCCCTTCCACCAGGTGGAGGCAGCCCTGGAGCTCACCAAGGGGTGTCTCATCCATCAGGGATTTCCCATTCAGGTCGGCCCCGTTTGCCACAAGCAGCTCCACCAGGTGCACCTGCAGGCCAGCCAGTGGGGGACTGCTGAGGGCTTGAGCCGCAGCCAAGAGCCCGCTCACCATCTGCTCCTGACCACACTCACCTGTCCCCAGTAGGCGGCAGCGTGCAGTGGCTCCCAGCCGTCTAGGTCCTTGGCGCTCAGGCTGGCTCCATGCTCTAGCAGCAGGGTAGCTGCCTCACTGAACCCACTGGCGGCGGCCAGGTGCAGCTGCAGGCAGGCCACCCAGCCCTGAATCCCAGTCCCACAACCATCCAACAAGCCCCCAGCCCCTTAACAGACCCCCTCCACATGGCCAAGTCCTCACCAGTGTGGCTCCATGGTCCAGCGGGTCATTGAGGTCAGCTCCAACATGCAGAAGGCTCTGGAGGTCATTCAGCATGAGCAGCTCTGGCACTGCCCGGGCCTCCTCGATGCTGTCCTGGGTGATGCCTGTGGAGCAGCAGGCTCAGAGATGGAGCGCCCAGGCCCACCCTGAACAGGCAGGCACAGCACACTCACCCCTGTTGGCCATGGCAGTCTCCAGGCAGTCCAGTGTCTGCTCATCCTCACACAGGTCATACGGCATGTTCCCATCAGTGTTGACTGCCAGGAGATCAGCWCCCCTGCAGGGAGGACGGACGGGTGAGAGCTGCTGCCCAGCCCCCTTTCAGCAAGTCTGCCCTGTGCAGAAGCCCTGAGCCTCGGACTGCCTTCAGGAAGTGCCAGCAGACGGGGAGGACACGTAGGTTCTAGCTGCTGTTGGGAGAGGAAGCCTCTGGGCTCATCTGGCAGCCCCTCAGCTCTGGATCTTGTTCCTAAGGCAGACAGGCCATCCTGCAGTCTACCCACCTGGGCTTCAAGGCCCAAGGCACCCATCTATCCCCTGTAAATACAGGGTACACCTGCAGGAGGTACGCCGCACTCTGGGGACCCCAGGGAGAAGTGAAGCAAGAAAGCCAAGCAGTTGCTGATGTTGAGCCCACAGATCAGGGGGAGCAGGCCTGGAGGAAGGGGAGCTGAGGGGAGCAAAGGACACAGAGGGGCTGCCTGAGGTTTGGAACCCACCTGCAGCCTGTCACCAGCTCCAAGGGGAGTCTGGGGGCCTGCTTGCTGCATGGCTACTGCCCCACTCAGAGGAGGCACTTGTGTGTGATGGCAACAGCCAGTCACCCACACAAGGATCTGTGATCTACTGGAGAGGCCCAGGACTGGGGGAGGAAGGACAGGCTCCTGAACCTGAGGAGGCCACCAACCTCCTCTGCTCCATCCTCCTCCCATCCCCCAGTACTGGGGACTGAGCCCCGATGTGCTTTAACACTGAGTAAAATCCCCAGTCCTATTTATTTATTTATTTGTGTGTGGGGGGGGGAGAGACTAGGGATTGAACCCAAAGCCACGTCCACCCTTGGAAAAAGCTGAGCTACATCCTCAGTCCTTTTATTAATTTTTTTTTTTTTTTTTTTTTTTTTTTTTTTACTTTAAAGGGCTGGGGATATATATAGCTTAGTGGTAGAATGACTGCCTAGCATGAGATCCTGAGTTTAATCCCCAATATCACCAAAACTTTTTTTTTTAATCTTTGAGATAAGATCTAAGTTGCCCAGGCTGGCCTTGAACTTGAGATCCTCCTGTGGCAGCCTCCCAAGTAGCTGGAGTTACAGGGCTTACCACCACTCCCCACTCCACCTTCCTTCCTGTTGGAGAAAAGTCCTCACCTATACCCACGCACATCCTCCGAGACCTACCTGGCCTCTCTGCTCCCCTTACCTCCTTATTAGTTCTACCCTCAACACTAACCAGAATGGCATTTCTCAGGGGRGACCATGAGAAGGCCCTCTATCCAGAGCTGGTGGTCCAGCCTRCCGGGTGGGCCCAAACTATCCCCCAGGGGTCTCAAGCAGAATGGGTAGAGGTGAGGATACAGGAAGCCAGGACCTGGCCAGCTTCACTGAGTAGCCACATGAGCTGCCATCTGTGAGAAAGCCCCTCCATGATAAAGGCCCAATGGACACTACCGGGCAATGAGAAGCTCCACCAGGTGCAGGTGGCCACAGGTGGCTGCAGCATGCAGGGGGGTCCAGCACTCGCTGTCACGGGCATTGACGTCAGCCCCAGCCTCCAGGAGCTGTTGCACCATCTCTCGGAAATCATCAATGCAGCACTGCAAACACACAGCCTGAGTGGCCTGAGCCCTGCCAGCCCCTGCCCTGCCCACCCGCACACAGGCTGACCTGGTGCAGTGCTGTCAGCCCATCCTCATTGGCCAGGTCGGGGCTGACTCCACTCCTGAGGAGCTGGCGGACTGTAAGAAGGGGGTGGTGACGTCTGGGTGAGGCCTTGACTGGCCTACGCCATCCCTGGCCCAAGGCCACCTGGGCCCATGACACTGATGCCCCGGGATCAGGGAAGGGAGAGGAAGACTGGTATAGACGGCAGGAAGCATGCAGACTCAAGGAGCCTGGGGTGTCTGTCTGCCCCAAATAGGCCACACACACAGCAGCACCAGCCCCTCTCCTATCATGACACCCACCCCTAAGACCGCAGAACTGGCCCTCCTTTGAGACAGCTGGCCCGTAATTCCACGCTTAGCTCCCAGCCCTGCAGCTGCGTATAGCCCCAGCATAGGGGCTTACACTCCTCTGATCCTCCTGATGATCAGCCCAGCCCCTCAACCAGTGCCTGTCCCTGCCCTTGCTCCCCTTCAGAAATCCCATCTCAGACCACGCTCTTGCCAAGGTCCCTGGGGTCCTCTCTGGCCATGCAGCAGTAAGACACAGCTCCTTGTGACAGGCCTGTGGCACACATAGCACCCTTCTCTACAGGCCCCCTCCCAGCCTCCAGGTCTCAGGAGGGCTCCTGCACAGTCACTGCCCACTCCTCCTCACCTCTGCCCCAAAAAGAGACAGGAAGAGCCCTTAAGAAAAATCAAGAGGTCCCCTCCCCAGACTCCAGAGCCTTGTACTCAGTGGGCTACAAATATGAGGCATGGAGAGGAAGAGGGGCTTGCAGAAAGGTCAGGCTGTCATCAGGCTGGGAAGGCTCCAGTGGTAAGGAAGGAGTCAAAGGGAACACTGAGGGCAGCTGCGAGAGGGGTCAGCCGTGTGGGTACTGGGTCAGCTTGCTCTACTCTTTGCAACTGGAAGTATGTGTTACCACCCTACTCAGCAGAGGTGGAACTCAGGGAACAGCTGGCAGAGGCCAGGGAGCTCACCCACAGCCTAGCATCCTTACAAGAGGCGGTGAGAGTTGTCAGCCTGCTCAGCTCCATACACTGGATGCTTCTGCAGGCCCTGATGGGCGCCCCCCGCAGCCTGGTCCTCTCACAACTGGCCTGCCTCACAGCAGGACCTTTTGCATGAGGCCTCTGCTGAAGAACAGCTATCTCAGCACGGGTTGTCCTAACAAGAGACCCTGGTTGCCCTGTGGCTAAAGCCCAAGAGTGCTGGACAGGCACTGGCCCAGCCCAGAGCCCAACACAAGATGAGGCCACACCCACATGGATGGGAGTGCCATTGGGTACCACCCTGGGACAAGGACACTCACCTTCTTCCAGGTCATTTCGGGCAGCGGCTTCCAGGAGGACAACACTGGGAGGGAAGACAACTTGCTTCGGGGGCTCTCGGCCAGCTGCCTCCTTCTGCAGCTGCTTCCCACTGCCTTTTTTGGCCTGGGCCTCCTTCTCAGCCTGGGCCCATATCTTCACCTGCTGGGCACGCCGCTTCTGGGCATGCTTCAGCCGCTCCTGGGTGCTCATCTTGCCCACCATGGGCATCTCTGCCAGCAGTTCCAGGTGCTCAGCCATGGTCGGGGGTGTCTACCCACAGGGCTGCTTGGGGTACCACAGTGCAGGGGAGGGGGGTCAGACCAGGCTTGAGTGGCAGAGCAGCTGGCTGGACTGACACCTTTGAGGGCATTCCCTTCCTGAGGCTTGTGCCCTCGGCCCCTGGCGAGGGTGTGAACAGGCCCAGGCAGCCCTGAGGGGCACAGCCCAAGACGGAAGGGCGTGTAAGGATACCACAGCTGGTCCCACGCAGGCCTGGCACCTTGGTGGCTCAGATAGCAGGGTCTCTAGACAGGCAGCACCTCACTTCCCTCTTGAGATCAGGGTACACCGATTGTGGGAAGTAGCCCTAAGACCTGGCCGGACTCAGTCCAGGGTCTGAAGCTAATTACCCAGATAACAAAGCTCTAGCTTCCTGGTACCTTGCCAAGGGAGAGGGAGGGCCAATCCACAGTGGGTCCTGAGAGCCCCTTGGAACTTCTGCTCTTTCTAGGCCTCAGGAGCCTGGCTGGGGTCAAGGAGCAGTCATGGCCGGGCCCTGCCTGCACCCTCCTGATGGTGCTCCAGTCGGCACAGCAGGACCAATGAGGGGGGCCACATAAGGTCAGCCCTAGGCAGCCAGGGTACAGAGGACACAGGGCGCCTGTCAGTGTGTCTTCAGGGGAGCCTCCCCTTTGGGCAGCCACATACACCTGAAGAGCAAACAAGGAAGCACATCAAGGCCAGTTCAGAGGGTGGGGCAGAGAGGCTCTGATGAGACCACTCCCGGCCACCCTGGGGTCCTGCCTTGTGTGGGGCCCACCTTCTGCCTGCGGAACACAGTGCAGGGCAATGATCCTTGGGGGGCTGCTCAGCTCTCACACTTAGGAAAGGCAGAATGAAGGGCACCTCAGGCTCCCGACCCACCCTCTGCAGAAGGGGCTGCCCAGGTACACCACTGGGAGCAGAGCCAGGAGCCCTGCCCATGACCAGCCAGCCAGCCCTGTGTGCTGTGTGGGGCAGAGGTTGCCCCTGAGTCCCTGAGTTCACGCCCTGCCTCCTTGATCTCGGCCAGCGATCAGCTCCCCAGCCTCCTGCTCCTTGCCAGGCTCCCTGACCTGGCCAGCCAATACTCCAACCATCTGGGAACCTGGGCTGCATGGTTACAGGCACAGGTGACCGACCTGGCTTGAGGTCTACAGGGACCAACAGGCCAACAGCTTAGGCTGTCAGCTTCGAGGTACGACCTTGCTGGAGTGCCCATCTTGGCCCCATTCCTCACAAGGTATGGTCACCCACTGCTCTGTTCCTCAGAAGGCACAGTCACACACTGCCCAGAGGCGGCTGACCCAGAATCCTGTTCTCCACACAACCAGGCCTCTCGGCAACCTAGACACTAAACCCATTTTCTTCTAGCCAGTTTATACAACAAGGGTCTCAACACACACCCCTTTTGCCTTGAAGGGGACTGCCACGCCAGATGACACTAGGCTGGCCAGGTCCCTTCTGACAGGTCTGACCTGGTAGAGTTAGCCCCTGTGAGCTTGGTCTGAGTTTCCTAGGGAGAGAACCAGTAGGGCCCTTAGCCCTGGACTGGTGTGCTCTCCGTGAACTCTGCTGTGAGCAGCCTGCTCCAAAGTTGGCCACCTCTGCAGACYGCTAGGGCCAGCCAGGGCTGACGTAAGCCAGCCCAACACCCTGCCCAGACTCCCCAGCCCGCTGTCACCCTCTCAGGTCCAGCATCCCTACTCAGGACAACCAGGCTGGGTTCTGCAGGTACCCTGCTAGCTCCTCCAGCATAAGGACAAGGATTCCAGACCCTGCCATGTGACAGAGTCCTCCCTGCTGCCACCCATGGTAGATATCCTCCTCCCCAACAGGGCTGACAAGGTGGGACCTGCATCTCTCTGTCATCAGGATTCTGCCAGGGAAGTGGMCCCAGTCTGCCCCAAGAGGTCACAGCCAAGAGGGAGGCCCACTGCCCTGCCTGCCCCACCTCTGTCCAATGAAGGTAAAGAAGATGATCCAAGACCACCTGATCAAATAGCCACACCCAYCCCATCAGTGGGTAGAAAGAGATATATATATTTTTTTGCACTGGCAAAATTGAACCCAGGGGTGCTTAACCACTGAGCCACATCCCCAGCCCTTCTCATGTTTTATTTTGAGACAGAATCTTGCTAAATTACTTAGGGCTTCACTAAGTTGCTGAGGCTGGCTTTGAAATTGCAATTCTCCTGCCTCAGCCTACCAAGCCACTGGGATTACAGGCATTTGCCACCAAGCCTGGCTGATATAAAGATATCTGATGCTGTTGTCCTACAGAAGAAAAATAATCTGAGGACAGCAACCACTTTCTTTTGTGTGTGTGTATATTGGACTAGGGACTGAACCCAGGGGCTCTCTAACACTGAGCTATACCCCAGTCCTTTAAATAAATAAGTAAATAAATATTTACATATTTATTTGTGTATGTGTGTGTGTGTGTGTGTGTGTGTGTGTGTATATATATATATATATATATATATATATTTATTTTTTTTTTTTTTTTTTTTAATAGGACTTGCTAAATTGCCCAGACTGACCTGGAACTTGAAATCCTTGTGCTCAGCCTCCTGAGCAGCTGGGATCACAAGTGTGGCCACCATGCTGGCAACAACCATTTTTCAAGTGGAATACAGCTGACTTTTAATGTTCTCATTCTGAGGCCCCCTCAGGATGCAGCATGAACCCTCTGGCTGCTATGAAGAGAGTGAGCATGGGGTGCTCTGCCTTTCCCCATATGGCTCCCCAAAACAGTCCCCACCCCTGGATGCACCCACCTGGCTGAGCTCTCTGCTGGAGGCTGACTGAGCACAGTCTCCACCTGAGCTAGGGTCGGTCCCTACCCTGCTTGACTCCTTCCTCTGAAAGGATGTGCCCAGAACTGCCCTGTTAACTGCTCCACCACGTGCCTCACACACCCACCTCAAGACCCCCACTGTGCAGCGAGAGCCCAGAGTCTGACGGCTGTGAAGCACAAGTCACCTTATTTGTCCAGAGACAGGGACGAGGCAGGTGGAGGTGCACTCTTTTCGCAGAAGGAAAGAAGACACTGGGAGCTACAGAGAAGTGCCAAGAAGGGGAAGAGCCTGGGGCACTCGTTACAGGCTCCTGTTCTCAGGGTACATACAGGTACACCTCAAGGGTGCTAGTGCATCCCCAGGCCTGAAATGTCCCCTCTGACAGCCCTTCTGGGAGCACCCCCTGAAGCCCGAAAGCAAATCAGGCAGAGTGTCAGGGGGGCAGGATAGTGTCAGGGAGGCAGGAAGAGAGTCCTCCTGCTGTGGCTGCATACCATGGGGGAAAGCATACACACAGTGGGCAGCAGAGAGCACTGGGCAGCCAGCACAGGAGTCCCAGGAAGCAACATGGCTAGCCTGGCATCCTGGCCTGCCTCCCTCAGTCCAATTCTGGGGGACTTTACATTTCTGTGACGCTTGTGCTTGTTGGAACTGATTCCCGTAACTCACAACCAGAAGAGTTCATATTGTTTGTACCAATATCTATCATGGCAAAAAAATGGGAGACTCCCTAGATGCCCATCATTCTGGGAAAAGTAAATCATGGCTAGGCACAGTAGAGCACACCTGTAATCCCAGCGACTCAAGAGGTTGGGACAGGAAGATCGTAACCTCAAGGCCAGCCTCAGCAACTTAGCGAGACCCTGTCTCAAAATAAAAAATAAAAAGGGCTGGGATGTAATTCATTGGTAGAGCACCACTAGATTCAATCCCCAGTACTAAAAACACAGTCAATGACACGGAGCCATTCTGTAGAACAATGTCTATAGCGCGCATCTGTCAACAAGAGGCAGAGTGCAGTGCTTTGGGAGAGGGGCTGCAACATGTGAGCACCAGGTGCAGGGGCCCGCAGAGTGCCACAAGAACTGTGCCTGGGGGTCTCAGCGAACCACATGACGCCTGCTTAGCCACTGGGGAGGAGGACCCATAGGAGGCAGCTCTACGCTCAAAGGCCTGTACCCTGAGGCCATGGGCAGCCCCACGCAGTGAAGGACAAATGGTCACTCTGATCACTGTGGATGTGGGAGGCAGTGCAGGCCATCCCCAGGGCTCATCACTGGGGTATTCCAGAGGCACTGCTCTGTGAAGTTCATCCTGAAGCTGTTCATTGTGAAGTACCTGAAGTGCCATCTTGGCCACTCAATGTAGCAGAATTTATGACATAAAATACAGAAAAGCATCTAAATGTCTATCAAAGGGGATTAATTAAATAAACTCTTATTGGAAGCCAGGCATGGTGAAACACACCACTAATCCCAGCAACTCAGGGCTGAGGCAGAAAGACAGCAAGTTCAAAGCCAGCCTCATTAAACTTAGCAAGACCCTATCTCAAAATAAGAATAAAGAGTACTGGCATCAAGGGCTAGGTTGTGGCTCAGTGGTAGAGTGCTTGCCTTGCACATGTGAGGGCACTAGGTTCGATCTTCAACACCATGTAAAAATAAATAAATAAAATAAAGGTACTGTGTCCATCTACAAATTTAAAATATTAAAAAAAAAAAAAGAGTGCTGGCATCAGGCAAGGTGGCGCACGCCTATAATTCCAGCAGCTCAGGAGGCTGAGGCAGGAGGATCATGAGTTCAAAGCCAGCCTCAGCAAAAGCAAGGTGCTAAGTAACTCAGTGAGACCCTGTCTCTAATCTAAATAGAATATAAAATAGGGCTGGGGATGTGGCTCAGTGGTTGATTGCTCTTGAGTTCAACCCTCTGTTACCCCCCCACACACACACGAAAAGAATGTTTTGTTTTGTTTTGTTTTTTAAATATTTATTTATTTTTTAGTTATTGGCGGACACAACATCTTTGTTGGTATGTGGTGCTGGAGGATCGAACCCGGGCCGCACGCATGCCAGGCGAGCGCGCTACCGCTTGAGCCACATCCCCAGCCCCATGAAAAGAATGTTGAGGATATAGCTTAGTGGTACAGCAACACACACACACACACACACACACCCCACACACACAAAAGTACACTTATCTATTTTTTTTTTAGTTGTAGATGGATACAATACCATTATTTTATTTATTTCTTTTTATGTGGTGCTGAGGATCAAACCCAGTGCCTCACACCCAGTGCTAGGCAAGCGCTCTGCCACTGAGCCACAACCCCAGCCTGTACACTTATCTATGCATAAGAAACATGAAAAAGTAAAACAAGAAATGAATGAGTGGGGACAGGGCATGGAAGAAAGGACTTCTCTACTGCTGCACTTGGACCATGTGAAGACCACCTTCGGTGGTCTTTGTGTAGCGAAGGAGAGCTACAGAGCCACTGCACAGGGACAAGGTCAGGGCCAGGAGGAGAAAGAACATGTGCTGTGTGCTACACAAAGGGTATGGATGCAGGGGAACCAAGGCCGCTCGGTGGCTGCGTGGACAGTACAGCATTCTGTCCAACCAAGAAGGCTCTCAGATGAATGCATGACATGATCAGATTATGCCAGAGGATGAAGAGGAAAAGTATGGGGCAAGGAGTGGACATGAGGACAGTCCAGGGAAATGATAAAAGGCAAGACTGGGGAGCAATGGGCAGCCACAGTGAGGAAAAGGCCAGGAAGTGCAGATGGAATGGTCCCGAGTAGGAGGACTTGCATCTAGAAAGGAGTGGTCAGTACGGTGTGCACAGAGCCTAGGTGGTCCTCAGGGGAGCCAGGGCAGCAGGGAGAGCCCCTCAAAGCCCACAGAGCCACCAGAGGTCCACTGGGCCGCATGGGGAAGGACTCTAGGTATGAAGTGCCAGAGTAAGAAGCACTTACTTCCTGGGAAACAGCAGGGCCCTCCTCACTTCTCACACCAAGATGGACTCCAGAGAGCACACACATGATGTTGAGAGAAGCAAAGCTACAGGAGTACAAGAAGGACAAAAAGGAAAACTTTCTGTGGTCCCAGCACGTGGGAAACCTTCCTAAGCTTGCCACAAAACCCAGAAACTTATAAATCCAATTAAATTTTCAAAGTTTATATTATAAAAGCAAAACAAAAAATCCTACAAGATCAAAAGACAGATGATCAGGGCTGGGGCTGGGGCTCAGCAGCAGAGTGCTCGCCTAGCATGCGCAAGGCCCTGGGTTCGATCCTCAACACCACATAAAAATCATTAAAAATAAACGAAATAAAGGTATTGTGTCTAACCAAAAAATAAATAATAAAAAAAGACAGACGATCAATTGGGCAAAAACACAATGAGAGTGACAAGGTCACTCAGGTCACTCAGGTCAGCATAGCAGCAAAGGGCTCCTTGTGCCCAAGGAGAGAGGGCACAAGTCCTGGCAGAGATAGACTGCTATTCACCTCCCTAAATAATTAACACACACAGATCAAAAGGAGGCAGCCAGGTGAGGAGGCCCATGCCAGCTACCGAGGAGGTGGAGGCAGGAAGATCCCAAGTGTGCAAGGCCCCAGGTTCCACCCCCTCTGCACCACCGACACCTCAGAACTCATGTACTCTTGGCATGACACTTAGCAGAACAGTATGAAATAGAAACCTTCCACTATTTTGGCAGGACTGGGGACTGAACCCAGAGGTGCTCTACCACTGAGTTACACCCCCAGYACTTCTCCCCACCCCCTATTCTGAGAAAGAGTCTTGCGGAGTTGCCCCGGCTGGCCTTGAACTTGTGATTCTCTGTTAGTCTTCTAAGTAGCTGGGATTACAGGCTAAGCCACCACACTGGGCTTCCGCTATTTTTGATCTACAAAATGAAATGTTATTTAGCTCAGTAACAACTGCCTGCTGACCACCCTGTGAGGAAGGAGGACCCACGCCATCCATACATCTATGCAGGCCATGCTCCTAGCCCACTCTGGCCTGGGGGCAGAGCTATGCGTGAAACACATGCGGGTCTGACCAGACTAACTGTGAGCTCTAGCAGCAGCATCTGTCAGCAATGGAGTCTCCAGGGGTGGGGTGGGGGGCTCTCCCCAGAAGTCAGGGCAGGCTCTAAATCTCCCTTCTCACTTTCCTTTCCTTTTGCCACATGACTCCAAAACACATCTAATAAACTCACAGAAAAGTGTCAGAAGACATGCCCAAATGAAAGCAGATAGGCAGCCAGAGACATCTACATTTAAAAAGAGACTCAATGAGCACTGAAGATAAAAGCCAAGATTCCCAGAAAGAGAACAAGACAGGGAAGACTTCCAGCAGCCCCTGCAAATAAACTTAGTTGAAGCCAGGGCCACAGGCACCACTCCACTGAGCAGCCTCATTTAGCCTTGGGGCTCTAATGCCCCATGACCGGCACTATATAGATCTGGAAACTAAGGTCTCCCAAGTACAACAGTGAGGAAACCAGAATCACAAAAGTGAGCTTTGAAGGAGACAGCATTATATATAACCCTGGGTTTGCTCTGGCTCAAAACTTACTCCCCCTCAGAGAATGAGCCTAGTCAAGATAGGGCAGCAGTCAAGCATCTATCTGGCAGCAGGGCTGCTGCTTATGGTTCAGGCCTGGGAGTTGTGGACACAAGAGGCATTTGAATATCCCAGAAGTCAGGGATACTCAAATCCTTAGAACAGGAGACCTGTGGAGTCTAGATGACCGACATCCAAACAAGGCAAGAACAAGGGGGACATCCGGGGAAGACAGTTCACGATTACTCAGCAAATTCCTATAAACTGGATGGAAGAAAGGTGGGGGCTGGCAGAGCAGAGATAGCCCCCAAGGTCACTGGGAAAAAAAATCATAGAGGAACACAATACATAGGATGACAAAGTTTTAAAAAATCAGGAACATGACAAAGGGGACCTGTGATGTGTACAAGAGCAGATTCCAGGCTGAGGCTGTGGCTCAGTGGTAGAGCACTTGCCTGGCATGTGTGAGGCAGTGGGTTTGATTTTCAGCACTGCATATAAATTAATAAACAAAGGTCCATCAACAACTAAAATACACACACACACACACACACACACATATATATATGCGCACATATACAGAGACAGAGACAGACATGCACACAAGCAGATTCCTCTGAACCCCAACATTCTTTATGGGGTGCGGAAGTTGGGACACTGGCCAGGCGTGGTGGTGTATGCCTGTAATCCTAGCAGCTTGGGAGGCTGAGGCAAGAGGATACTTTGAGCCCAGGTGTTTAGGGCCAGCCTGGGCAACATAGAGAAACCTCAAGTACAAGTACTTCAAAAAAGAGTAAAGACAGCCAGGCACAGGGGCACCTGCCTATAATCCCAGTAGCTAGGGAGACTGAGGCAGGAGGGTCTCCAGTTCAAAGCCAGCCTCAGCAACAGCAAAGTGCTAAGCAACTCAGTGAGACCCTGTCTTTAAATAAAATACAAATTAGGGCTGGGGGGGCTGGGGTTATGGCTCAGCGGTAGAGCGCTCGCCTCTCACATGCAAGGCCCTAGGTTCAATCCTCAGCACCACATAAGTAAAATAAAACAAAGCTATAAAAAAAATTTTTTTTAAGTGTTTTAAAAAAATAGGGCTAGGGATGCGGCTCAGTGTTCGAGTGCCCTTGGGTTCAATCACCAGTACCAAAAAAAGATTTTTAAATAAAAATAAAAAACAAGGGCTGGGGATGCAGCTCAGTGGTAGAGTGTCTCTGGGTTCAATTTCCGGTACTGTAAAAGAAAATAATAAGGAAAAGAAAAGAAGGAAGGGAACTAGGAACCAGCTGAGCTGAGAGTGAAGCCCAACAGCCACCTGTAGTCCCACAAACACAAGTGGCTCAAGGCCAGCCTGAGCAACTTACTAAGATCCTGCATTAAAATAAATGGGCTGGGGCTGCAGCTCAGTGGCAGAGAGCTTGCCTAGCATGCATAAGACCTGAGTTCAATCTGTAGTATCACCAAAAAAGATTATTAAGACAAACCATTTCTCTAATTATTTCCCCCTACATACCTCACACTGGGGATTGAACCCAGGCATGCTCTACATTCCCAGCCCTTTTTTATTTTTTTATTTTGAGACAAGGTCTCACTAAATTGCTCAGGCTGGCCTCAAACTTTTTTTTCTCTTTTTGGTACCCAGGGGCGCTTAACTACTGAGCCACATTCCCAGACCTTTTATATATTTTATTTAGAGACAGGGTCTCGCTGAGTTGCTGAGTTCCTCGCTAATCTGCTGAGGCTGGCTTCAAACTCTCATCCTCCTACCTCAGCCCCCCGAGTTGCTGGGATTACAGGCGTGCACCACTGCGACTGGCTTCAAACTTTTGATCCTACTGCCTCAGCCTCCTGAATCACTGGGATTACACGCATGTACCTCCACAYAAGGGGCCTACAAGCCATTTTTCCAGGCAAAAGATTTGAACAGACACTTCATGAAATAAGATATACAGCCAAGGAGCTGGGACTGTGGCTCAGTGGTAAAGCACTTGCCTGACACTTGTGAGGCACTGGGTTCGATTCTCAGCACCACATACAAATAAAGCACATGAAAAGATGCTCAACACCCTTCAAACKTAGAAAAGTACAAATTAAAACCACCATGAACTACCAGGACACACACATCTATGAGCATGGACAAAGTTTAAAAGGATTAGAGTTGGAGGTGTGGCTTGGTGATAAAGTCAAACCCGAGATATTTACAGAATAGGCTTGCCTACTGTCAACCTCACCCCACCTTATGGAAGCTATTGCTTCTATCTGGAAAGTTCTCCCACCAAATCTTAGGATCAGTGGCTCCTTCTGGCATCTCAGATCAAGTCTAATGTCTTCCTCAGCAGTCTTCTATGGTCACCTCATTGTCAACACATTTAAATTTCTGACATGCCTCTTACTGTTGGCTTCCCTGCTGTATCCTCAGAGCTCAGCCAATGCCTGACTTACAGGAAGCACTCAATAACTGGTGGACAACAGGGGAACAGCCACTGCATGTGCCAGCATTGGGGGTACAAACAGAATGGGACACGGGATGGGACAAGGAAAGGTTCACTCAGCTGTGCACACCAACGTGCCAGGCACACCAACGTGCCAGGCACATCAAGGAGGTAGTTCCAAGAAAGCCTAGAGGTGAGAGAAGACCCTTCAACTGCCACCCAGATGTCTTCTCTTGGCCAATGGGTAGATGTGGCACAGGCACTGGGGTGGGGCTGAGCAGGTGTGGAATCTAGGGGCTGAAACAGTCTGTTGGGATGCCTAAGACTGAAGTTCCTAAGCTCCATGCAATGGAGAGACATACAAGTAACCAGCTATTGAAACAAACCAGAGATTCAGAAATCCCTAAAACACAGAACCCAAAGTTGAGCCCAAAGACACAGAGCCCCCTCTCTTGGGGCCTGCCAGCCAAGACAACCCTGGGTGGAAAGCAAAGTTCAGGCATACCCTGAGCTGGTGAGGGAGGATGCCAGGAAGACTATTCAAGAGACAGGAGGTGGGCCCCAGCTAATAGGGGGAAACCCAGCCCAGGTATCAGGAGAAAAACGGACCTCCTTAAAGCTTGTCCATCACAGCACTGAACGTGATGGGGAGACTTGGAACAGGGTCAGGCAGTTGGCCTCTGAAAGCTGTCCATCACAGTGACAAACACGGAGCAGCCAAGGTTTGTACAGGTTTGGGCAGTCATCAGCCTTTCAGACCACTCAGTTTTATGCTGGAGATCCCCGAGTTGGTCCAGTGGGGACTCTGGATACCAGGCTGCCACAGACAAGAGGAATCTTTCAGGAAAACCCTAGTCCTTCCAGGAAACACCTGGGGAGCAAAGACCCCCCAGGAGGTGTCACTGCTGAGCCTGAGAGAACGACGTGGTACCCTGGCCTCCGCCTGAATCCCAAACAAGGACCAGGAAGAAAGGAGGGCTAGTTTTGCTCTGGCTCCCTTGAGGCTGGGATAACTCCAAACACACCTCTTCTCTTTGAAACGGTGGAAATCAACCCCACCAGGCCCCGAGCTTTCGGTCTGGTTCAGCCAGAGGCGAAATCAGCTGAAGCACTTTTCGCGGGTTGATTAGTACTTCATGCCTGACCCCAATTCGCGAAGCGTCGCCCACAATCCCGCCTACAAGTGAGGTCCCCTGAATCCCTGAGTGGCTCCAATTTCTCCTTTCCCCTGACTCCAAAGCCCGCACCGAGAGTGGACAAGTCTCTTTTCTGTGGCCCTAATGTCCACATCTGAAATTAAGACCCAGATAGGTACTGCCTACATGACCAGCAGGCTGCAAGAACCACACCTGCCATTTGGACAAATGGGACACGCCTACTGGTGGCCTCCGCGAGCGGCCCTTCCGGAAGCCTCTCCGGACCCTGGGCAATCGCTGCCCGATCGGGGCCGCAGAGGCGCTCCGCGGCGGCCAGCCTCCTCCGCCCCGACCCTCCCGAGCTTCGCCGCCCTCCCCGCGCCGCCCTGAGTCACCTTCGGCCCGCAGGCTGCGCACTCAGTCCGGCCCCGCGGCGGGCCAGGCGGCCCCGCGCTCCTTCAGGCGCCGCGGGGGCGGGCCCCGCGCCGGCCTCGCCATGGCAACGCGACACTTCCGGTCTTCCAGGTCCCGAGCGGAAGTCGCAGAGCCCCGTGGGAGCCGGGGGGTGGAGTCACGCTGCCCGAGGCGGGCCCGGGGAGCTCACGCAGCTGGCACCGCCTYTCCTCTGCGCTGGTGGGCGCCGCGGTGGCGCGAACGTCCCCTGATTTCGGGTGGGGCGGGAAGGACAAGTGGCCAAATGATCCGGAGAGGTGGTCGTCTATTCGTGCTAGGCTTTGAAGAAAGGGTAGTAGGAGTCTATCCCTCAAATCAGAGCCTTCGTGGGCGGAGTGAAGAGCGTGTGCCAAAACGGCAGGGGAGAGAGAGAGAAGTGTGTGTCAGAGAAGAGCAGCTAGAAGGAGCCCTTGGTATGCGCCGTTGAGGCAGCAAGGGAGGACCAGTGGAGAACACCCTCAGACTTTTAGAGAGAACGTCCTTGTCAAGTAGAGCTAAGAGTCCATAGGTGTTACCCTCCTGAGACACAAGGACCCCTCAGTGAGAGTCCTGGAACTGAAGCGAGGAGAGAGCCCCGAGAGTGCCAAGGTGATAGGAGTCTAGAGAAAGCTAGATGCTGTCTGAAGGGAGAATCTGGTAGTGAGAAAGCACAACCAGAGGGTGGCTGGAGCAGTGTGGTGCCCCACGTTCATCTCCCACCTCAGCCCCAGTCCCTCCTCCAGTGCACTCTTGATTCCTGCCTTTTGCCTTTGGCACCTCATACCCATTGTATGCTGCAGGTCAACCATTTAGCATGCTAATAAAGGGTTCCTGCACGTCTAGGGGTCCTTGGCTTTGGTATCAGCACCAACCACTACAGCTAGTGCCCTGACTCTGAAGCTCTCTGGGGCAAGCTTGCCTGGTATAGGGAGAAGAAACTGGGCTTCGGGTCTGGGTACAGATCACAGGTTTTGACTGGCCCCAGGTGCAGAGCCAGGGAGAAGGAGCTCATCTGAACTCTGTAGCACATTCCTGGGGAAAAAAATCACTTAAGTCCACTGTACCCATTCCCATTTTGCTCCTAGGATGGGGACTTCACAGTCTTTCCCTTCAGGAAGTGCTTCTGATCATGTTCCTTAAGTCCAGCCCATAGGACCCAGGTTCTACTGGCAGCTTTGTCTTGAACACCCTTCCCTTCTTGGCAACTGGCATGGACAAGAAGTCATTCCTATCTGTTAAAGGGGAGCCTGAGACCTGCCCTAGGCAGACAAAATAAGGAGGAGGTGGTACCCTCCTCCTAAGGGCTTTTCCTTAAAGCTCCTGGGTGATGCCGAGCTTCCAGAGGCAACCTGGGAATGGGAAATTGTGGCTTCAGGAGGTCACCTGAAGTCGGAACTGGAATCCTCTCTGCCCCTCCCTTTCAGATTAACTGAAACCTGCTAATTGTGGCAGCCCTTGCAACTCCCCTCCCCCACAGCCTTTTCCTTCCTCCCCTCCCCCTTCCATCCGAATGATAAAGGGCCTGGCCTGCCTGCCCCAGTCAGGCCTCAGGCCCCAGGCCCAGCCTCCCCACACTACCCCACAGTCCTGAGCCTTCCACGAGGCCAGGCCCCTACCCACGCCTACAATCTCCCCTGCATGGGGCCTTGTAGCAACTCCCGCCTGGGGCCCCAGGATCCAGAGCCAGCCTCGAAGCCCCCCAAGAGAAGAAAGAAAAGATACCTGCGGCATGACAAGCCCCCCTACACCTATTTGGCGATGATTGCCTTGGTAATTCAGGCTGCACCCTCCCGCAGGCTGAAGCTGGCCCAGGTGAGAGGCTCCCCGGCCTTCCTCATGCCCTTTTCCCGGACTGGCTCCCCAATTCTCTCACTCTCAGGTGTGGCTTCCACCCCAACCTGGCCCACCCAGCTCTGCCAGTGGGACCAGTCATGGAAGCCAAGGGACTCAAAGCGACCTTTCTTTCGGACCCTCCCCACCGCGTCTCCCTCTGGCGCATAAGTTTCCTCTGAGGGGGGTACCCCTGAGCAGGGCTGTGAGGGAGGGGTGGGGTGCTGCCCCTGCCTCCGGCTCACTGCGCCGGTCAACCCCCGGTTTCAGATCATCCGTCAGGTCCAGGCCGTGTTCCCTTTCTTCAGGGATGACTACGAGGGTTGGAAGGACTCCATCCGTCACAACCTTTCCTCCAACCCGTGCTTCCGAAAGGTGGGGCCCTCAAGGTCGGAGCCCGGGAGGCGGGGCGGGCGAGTAAGCCCCAAGCATCCGGAATTGGGCGGCCCCACCCAAACCTACCACCCCCCAGGTGCCCAAGGACCCTGCGAAACCTCAGGCCAAGGGCAACTTCTGGGCCGTGGATGTGAGCCTCATCCCGGCAGAAGCGCTACGCCTGCAGAACACAGCCCTGTGCCGACGCTGGCAGAACCCGGAGGCCCGCAGAGCATTCGCCAAGGACCTGAGCCCTTATGTGCTGCATGGCCAGACCTACCGGCCGCCCACACCCCATACGCCACCCAGCGAAGGCTTCAGCATCAAGTCCCTGTTAGGGGACCCAGGGGAGAGAGCACCCTGGCCCCAACAGTCCAGCCAGGCTGGACAGAGCAACCCAACTCAGGCAGACACAGGCTGCAGTGGGGAGGAAGTGGTGCCTACTCCACACTTACCCTCCTCTGAAAGGCTTCTGTGGCCCCTCTGCCCTCTCCCAGTGCCCACAGGAATGGAGAGGGAGACTTCCCAGGGGACAATCATTGGGCCCTCAGGCTTATCCCCAGAGCCCAGAACCTGGCCCTTGCACTACCTGCAAAGTACTTCCAACGCCGGGGTACTGTCCAGTGGGGTATGCAGGGCCTCCCTGTGGGGACAGTTGCCCACCTCCTACTTGCCCATCTACACACCCAATGTGGTAATGCCTTTAGCCCCACTACCATCCACTTCCTGTCCTCGGTGTCCACCTTCAACCAGCCCAGCCTACTGGGGGGTGGCCTCTGAATCCCAAGGGTCCCCAAGGCTGCTCTGGGATCTAGACACTCTCTTCCAGGGAGTACCACCCAACAAGAGCATCTATGATGTGTGGGTCAGCCACCCTCGTGACATGGCTGCCCCTGCTCCAGGCTGGCTGCTCTCCTGGTAAAGCCTCTGAAGCTTTCTAGAGCAGGGGTTGCTTCTCTCCCCACCTCCTTGATAGGGAACCAAGGTAGGAAGATGTCTGTAGTCTTAACACCAGGCTCCAGCCTTGCTTAATGAGAGTCCACAATGTTTATTGGGCTGCTCCAGAAAAAGCTGCCACTCAGCTGGGCACCAACCTGGGCTTGGTCAGTCTTGCCTCTCTGCCTCCCCCTACACCCAGGGGCAATGCTAAAAGAGCAGGACTCAACCTGGAGTAGCAAATCATGATTCTATCTTCAGGCCTAGCCCATCTATCTATTCATCCATCACCATCTGTCACCTCCCTCCTGGCTCCAGGCTGGGGGAKGGAGCGCCTAATGGTGGGTCCAGCCTGAAGTCCTGCCATCCCTCAACTGTCTGGGAGGTAGCACCTTTTGGGGAAAGGGTTAGGGAATAAAAACTGGACCCTACATAGACTTGAAGTGGTGGTAGTGGTGTAACATTAAAAGAATTTACAGCATTTTAATGCCTAGTCTTATTTTTGGAGCAGAGGTGGTGACTTGGGAAACTCCTTGGCCAGAGTCATGTCTGGTTCCTGTGGCTCTGGGATCCCCTGCTGTGTGCTGTGATAACGGCAAATGGTGATAAGGAGGGAGCTGAGGGCCTCTGACCCAGTGGGGTGGGGCAAGATCAATTCTCCAGGCTCTTCTCTGGCTGGGGTTGTGGGGAGCAACTCTGGAAGTTTGGAGAGAAGTAGGCCCCCAGAAGTCAAGAAGATTGTCTTGGGAGACCCGATATAGGAACTGTACTGCTGCCTCTGCCAGCAGAGTTACATCCCCAGGTCTCTTGTGCAAGGCCTCCACCCAAGACTAGGGGGGAAGGTCCCCTGAGGGCCCTAGGGCAGAGCATGAGCCGCTGTCGGGGCTGGGGCTTGGAGGGCTGACAGGAGACCTCGTAGGAGTGCAGGGGGTCCCAGTAAGTGGGGTGTCGGTACTGAGGGAGGAGGGGGTCTCGGATCGTGGTGCCTTGCGGCGCCGGGCTGGTCCCAGCTCCACCTGACCCACTCGCTCCGCAAACTTGAGCGAGCAGACGGTCTCCCCGAGATCCTCTGGCCGCGTAGAGATCTGAGGAGGAAAAGTGCTTGTGGGCCAGCCGGCGGTGCTTCACACACAAATGACCCTCCTGCACCCCACCCGCTGCTGCCGGGGCGCACACCTGTAGAAGCAGCACAGCAGTGGTACCCGGACCAAGCGCAGGCTGCAACAGACGTGTGAGCTGTGAGTCACGGAAGGGCACGTGGGACCGGCGGGCACGCAACGCAGCCATCACGCCTCCCAGCGCCAGCAGCGAGCGGTTGATAGTCTGGGCCTCCCGCAGACGCTGGGCACTGTTGGGATCTCCTCGCTGCGTACCAGTAGCCCCCGCCTTCCAAGCACGCTCAGATCCCGCCAGGTCCACCAGGTGCAGCGTGCCTGCAAAGGTGAGCGAGCCCGACACGAAGGGAGGCCAGGCTTCAGGCACACTGGAAAACCTGCAAAAGCTCAGGCATTGCAGTGTTTGCTACCTGCAGTGCCTGGGGTGCTCGGTGGAGAAGCTGCACACAGCGTCAGTGTAACGAGAGCATGGGATCGGGAGCTGCGTGGGTTCATGGAAGTGGCGGCAGTGGCCCGGTTACTTCTCCCCAGGCTCAACATCTGTTAGGAGCGATGAGGCGCGGCTGGTACACAGTTCCCAATCCCAGATGGGAGGAAAAGGAAGGGCCTTAGAGGGCATCTTTACCTGGTGCAAAGTCTCCAGGTTGGGCACGTCCCAGTGGGTGAGGCCAGCTACTTGGATCCCCCCCTGTCCTGCTGGGCCCTGCCTCACAGCTAGGCGCTCTGGAGGTCCTGGAGCCAGGAGGTCCCTGGGGAGACCAGGAGAGTTTGGTTCCAGGATTCTAAGGGTAGCAGGAGTCTTAGGCCAGGGCAAATAGTAGCCAACCACCCCTTCAGCACAGCCCTGACCTGACTGCCTCATTGTAGATCTCCACCATGCTGAGGGTCACACGGTGCTGCCCTCCAGTCCCCATTTCCCTGAACAGTGACTGCAGCGCCCTGGGAGCTATGCCTGGGTCCTCAGGTGGGCCCTGAAGGTGGTGTGGAATACCCCATTGGGCTCACATTCAAGCCTCTGAGGCCTCCCCCCGCCCCCAGGTGTGAGCTCCACCCCACCTCCATGCTGTATGTCTTTCCAGTCCCAGTCTGGCCATAGGTGAAGATGCAGACACTGTATCCTTGGAGGCAGGACAGCACAGCTGGTTCCAGCTCTCCAAAGACCTGAATGAAAGAGAGGTGGAAAAAGTGTCCTGAGCCCTTTCCAAGGTCTCTGTTTAGGACCTTGAAAGGTGGAAAGCACAGTGAAAAAAGTTTGAATAGAACCCAATTCGCTAGGGAGACGCCTCCAGGGGAGCACAGGGGGCTGCCCAGAAGATACCTTCTGCCTCCCTAGAAAAGGTGGTATTTGCAATAATGTGTGAGGCAAAGAAGGAAAGAGACGTGACAAAAAGGGAACAGCCTGTGCAAATAATGTGGAGTCCTGATGACCATTTAGGTGGTCCTGGGGAGCAGTGGTCAAGGGTCCAGGTGCTGGAGCTTGACTGCCTGGTCCCAATCCTAGATGTGACTGGAAGCAAATTACTCATTCTTTGTGGCTCTTCTGTGTTGTTCCTCTCTATGGCACCTGTCTTGAGGCTTAGTGGGCAGTGTCCAGGAGGACCAGAGCAGCACTTGGCACACAAAGGATGAGAAGGATGAGACCAGAAAAGGCTCTGGGGGTATGGAGGGTAGTAGCCAGCCAGGACTACTGGAACCTTGGCCCTGAGGGGAGCAAAGAGGTGACTGAGGGGCAGATGGGTAGACATAATAGTTGCTTTCATTTTTTGCTTTGTTTTTGTAGTATTGGGGATTGAACCCAGGGGTTCTCTACCAGAGAGCTGAGCTACATCTCAGCTTTTATTATTTTTCATTCTGAGATAAAGGTCTCACTAAGTTGTCCAAGTTGACCTTAAACTTGAAAATCCTCCTGCCTCACCCTCCTGAGTAGCTGGTATTACAGATGTGCACCACCATGACCAACAAAGAGTGGCCTTTTGAGCAATGACATAACCAACTTTCACTGTAGAAGGTTGCTGGTAACTGGGTGGTTGTCACCTCTGCTTAAAGTCTTGGCTAATGGCCATGAAGCCATAATCTAAAATTGCCAGTATGGGGGATAAGCGTCCACGATTGGACAAAGGAGGCACGGCAGGTGGTGGTGCAGAAATAAGAGACACAGGTGAGGTTCTTGATCACAGTGCAATGACCCTGTTGGGCCAGCAGGCAACCTGGGTGTGCATCACTGCCAGCCCTGTCCCTTACCTAACCCTCTCCCAGCTCTGAGCCTCCATTTCAGTTATAGAAGCTCCAGGAGCAAAGTTTATATGTAGATGGAAACTGTGTATTAGAAAAGTGATGGCAGGCTGGGACTTGAGCTCTGCTTTTCTACTGGTGTCTGGCAGAAAAAAAAAAAGAGAAAAAATGGGATCTGAGCAAGGGAGTCGGGGAGTGCTGGGGCTGGACACTGGCCTGGTCACCCATGGCCCCCCACCTGCATTAGGGCCACAAAGCAAGGAGGGCTAATGCAATCCCAGCTGGGAAGAGCCTGGACCCCAGGGAGGAGCAGTGATCTCTCATGGAAGCCTTAGAGGAGGCATCACTTGTGGGTCATGGCACTGTTCCTACCTGTGGCACCCAGCTGTACTCTGTGGCCAGTTCTACGTGAGCAGTAACTGTAAACCTCAGATAGGTTCATTTTCCTTAGTGTCCAGCTGGGCTGCCACTCCCCAACCCTCCAGCTGCTCCCTTCCCTTTTAGACTAAAACTGATTCACCCTCCCTTCTATAGGTGGACAGACTGGAAGGGGAAAGGAGCTTTTTCTGGACTCTGGGAAACTCTTGACGAAGGGTCAGAATAGGTGCAAGGGTGGCTGTCACCTCCTCCTGGCTGGCATCTGGAGAGAAGACCCAGTCCAGGTGGAAACGACGCTGGCGCCCTCGATAGCAGGTGGTGACTGTGCCCCCTGGTCCAGCCTCCACACTCACCAGGCTGCAGGGTGTACCTGGCCTCAGCCGACATAGCACCCGAATATTCCCTGCAGTGGGGATCAGGTCAGCAGATTGCCTTTTCACCACTGAGGCATAAAAAGCTTCCCCTCTCTCCAGCCTGCCCTCCCTGCCACTCTGCTCCCCAAGTTTGCCATACCCTTAAGCTCCAGCAGCCGCCCTGGGCATCCAGTTGGGGGCCCCTGTTGCCCCTCAGGGAGCTGAGTCCCAGCCCCTCCAGCTGACAATGCCCCCAGGGCCCAGGATACCTGAGGGAACATGGATTTGAGGATGACAAAGACAGGTGTCCCAGAGTCTCCAAGCAGGGTGGAATGCTGGGAGCAATAAAGAGCCCTTGTAGCCCCCCGCTGTAGTGATACACAACTTTCAGTGGCTCTGGTACCTGGGGACATCCTTTGGTTGACCTGACAAGGACATCATATCTATCCTTCTAGGCTTCTCAGCAACTGTCAGTTTGCACAAGATAGACATGAGATCATAAGTCACAAATAAGGTCTTCTAGTCTAAGAGCCTACAACTGACCCCCAAATATGAGCATTCCTTAGAGCCAGGAAGCTCTAGAAATAATAGGAACTCCGCTGGAAGAACAGTGAACAGGCTACCCAGACAGACAGATGGTGTGAAGAGAAGAGGGTTCCTGACCTGGCCCTGGGCCTCACTCAGCGAACCCTGACAGCTCTGGGTAAAGGTGCTGACCAGTCCTCTGAGGTCACCACAGCCCTGGCGCAGGCTGGCCATCCGGGTCCGGAGTCCTAAAGTGGGAAAATAGTTGAGAGGGAAAGCCCAGAACCCAGGGCCTTCCATGAGCCACATGCTCCCAAACCTTACCTGCCAGTTGCCCATGCACCTGTTGTAGTTCCCGTCTGCAGTTCTGCTCCGTCTCCTGCTGAAGCTGCTGAAGGGCCCCTCGAAGGCCCTGCAGCTGCACCTCCTGCACCCCCAGCTGCCCCACCGAACCCCACCCCTGTCACTAAGGAAACAGGCACTTACCAGGCCCTGTCCCAGATGCCCCCTTCCCAGTGTCCCAGCCCTCCTTGTCCCTGGGCCCCGAGCCTACCTGGACTCGTAAGGCTTCTGTGGTGTCCTGGGCCTCCTGAAGCCGGCCCTGGAGCTCCAACAGTGCCTCTGCCTCCTCCTGCAGGAATTGGGAGCCAGGTAGGCCATCAAGTCAGGTGTGAACTCAGGGAGGGGCATTCCATGATCCATTTCACAGATGGAAAAACAAGTCAAGAGTGGCAGGCACAGACAAACCCATGCCTCCCAACTCCAGGCAGAACTCCTTTCCCCAGTCCCTCTACTTTCCTAAAACTGGTCACTCAGAGAATTATGAAGTGGGGGTTCTCCCAGGTGCATCAGCCTCCCTGATGGGCTTGCTCTRCATAGACCACCCCAGGACCTGCCTGTTAGAGATGACCCCCTGATAAAGCCCACTGCTTCAGCAAACTCAAAGACCTAAGGAGGCTTGGGCACTGTTGCTGATGCCAGGTGTATACAAAGAGGAGCAACAAAGAAGCAGGATACCTGTGGGGCTCTGGTGGGGGGGCCTGGGCCCCAATTCAGCAGGAGGTCCCGAGTGAGGCTCAGGCTCTGTTTCAGGGCCTCATTCTCCAGTGTGAGATGCTGAACCCTTTTCTCTGAGTCTGTTGCCCCCTGGCAGAGATAGTTGCACTTAGGAACCATATGAAAGTCCTGCAACCTCTTGCCCTCTCCCAGCCCCTGCTCCAACAGCCTCACCACTCCCAGGCGCAGTCTGCCCAGCTCCTCCTCCTGTTGCTCCAGCTGTTGCCTCAGCTCTTCCAGCTGCAGAAGAGTGGGATGAAACTCCTTTTTTGTGTCTCACCCCCTCCAGTCCCTGCTGCTTCTGGGCCCCTCACCTGTCCAAGGATGAGCTGTTCCAGCCTCTGCCAAGCTCTCTGCTCCTCCTCCAATTGAGGCAACTGTTGCCCCTGGGCCTCACCCCTTGGCACCTCCCCTTGGATGGGGGTAGGCTGGTAAGGGCTGTCTTCTTGAGAAAGGGCTCCTGGAGAGGGGTGAGCTCAGTTAGTACTGAGGTGGCCTGAATTCTGGGGAGCAAAGCTGGGCTAGGGATCCCAGATTGCACGCCACCTAGATTCTAATGGGATTCCCTTCCTCTATAGAAGATACCCTTTACAAACCATCTGGAGTTGGGGGTTGCACGTTGGAGGCTGGATGAGTCCCCTGGAGCAGGACCTGCCTCCCCCTGGGGCTCCGAATCCATGCCAGAAGAGCCAAGAGCTGACTGGTCACTGTCAACAGTGGAGGAACCTCCCCAGGCTGTGAGGAGATAAGAATCAGAGCAAGAAACCTGGAATGGTGGCCCACATCTGTAACCCAAGATACTGGGTAGGCTGAGRCAGAATGGCAAGTTTGAAACTCACCTCAGCAGTTTAGCAAGACCCTGTCTCAAAACAAACAAACAAACAAACAAACAAAAAGCAGGGATGTAGCTAATCCGTGGAGAGTCCTAGATTCAGCCCCGTGGACCAAGGAAAGCAGATTAAGAGCAGAGATGGAATGGAGCAGGACTGTGGGAGTCACAAGGGCTAAAGAAGGAGAAGTGATTGCTGGAGAGCTCCTCTGCCCTGCTCACCTGGCCCAACTCAGGAGGATTCCCGCAGCTCTCTTCTGCCCCCAAGTGGACCGAGAGGAATTCAGCAAGGCGCATAAGCGCCTCTTCCAGGGACACCTCGGCTGGGCGGTCCTCTGCTCCCCCTTCAGGCCCATCCTCAGACTCGGAGCTGCCCGCTAGGCCAGGTAGTAGAAGGAGGAGGCATTTCAAGTCATCGTTGGAGACTGGGCCTCTTTTCCCTCCCAATGAGGTCACGGCATCCCTCCCTCTGTCAGACCGCGGGGATCCCTCCAGGACCCCGAGGCGCTCCGGCCTGCACTTACCGGCCAGGCCTGTCAGCTCGGTCCACAGTTCTGGCGAAAGCTGGTCGGGGCGACGACGACCCCTGGGCTTGCAGTGGACTCTCTAGGAAGGGAGCAGGGGGCGTCCCTGAGGAGGAGGCAGGCAGCCTGTGGGGCTCCTTCCCTCCCGGAACTGGGCCAGAATGGTTGGGGCCGAGATCTAAGCTCCCAATGCCCGGACCAAGAGAAGGGTCCTCTGCACCGCCGCGTCCCTCAGGGCCAGCGTCCTGAGGATGTAAGCTGGGCAGGCCTACCACTACCCCATCTCCTGGTGGGGGGCGACCGGCGCTGCAGGCCCACACTGCTCACCTGGGCGGGGTCCCCAGGGTCGGCGGTCGCCGTAGCACCTCCATCCCTGCGGAAAAGGCTGTAGAAAATGTAGATGAGAAGCGAGTAGAAGGCGTACATGGGCGCGCGGGGCGGCAGAGGACCCCGCTACGCGCCGCCCCGCGTCCCGTGTCCCCGCGCCCGGACTCCGTACTCGCCGGCCGCAATGCCCATGCGCATGCTCGCGGCGGCCGCCCCCACGGCCCAGCTCCCGCGCGCGGAACGCTCCGGCTGAGGGGCGGGCGTGTGGTCGGGGGTTCTCCGAAACAGGCGTTCCCGCTACCGCACCTCGCAAGGTCCGTCCGCTCACGGCTCCGCCGCTCGCCGCCCAGTTCTTAATTCGCTGACGGTCAGTATTGAGAACGCCCACGGCAGCCTCACCTCTTTTTGGAGTCCCTCCCGTCCTCCGCGAAGACCCCTACCACTCGTTCGTTACTAAGCACCCGGCGTCCAGGTGTGCCACCTCCCCACCCCTTGCAGCCCGCCCTCTCTCGAAGCCCCGCCCCTCGAAGCCCAGGCTCCGTTTGCAGCCCCGCCCACCTCCACAGCCCCGCCCACCTCCACAGCCCCGCCTAGATCCCTCCGCTAGGCGAGCTCCTTCCAAATGCCAGCGCCCACAAACTAGCCCAGGCCCAGCTCCTAAAGCTGGTGCCGATCTCGCGCCTTCGAGTCCTCCTAGAGCCTTCGACCGTCCCCCTCAGGCCCCGCCCCGGCCTCTCTAGCTTCGACTCCTCTCGCTGGTGGCGGCGCTCGGCCGCGCTCGGCCGCGCTCGCCTGGGCCTCCGGAGGCCACCCGAGGCGGCGGGGCCGACCGCTGTGGACCTGCCAGGGCCTCTGGCTCGCCGCCGTCAAGAACTGCGAACGGCTGGGGCGGCCCACAGGTCTGCGCCGTGGATCCTTCCGGGCCGGGTGTCGAGGACGGTGCTTCCCTGAGCGCTGGGACAGGCCCAGGCCGCCACAAGGGCCTGCGTGCCCCGCCGCTCAGTCTCCCCCGCGTCCTGCACCTACTTGAGCTCACGCTCGCCCTGCCCAGCTCCCGAGTTTTGTTCCCGCTTTTTCCAGTCTAATTAGTCTTTTAGCACAGGTGTTTCCAGTGGCCTTGGGACTCTGGCAAATTTAGAACTGTACCTATTCTATCATCTAGTCATGGGACCTCGGAACCTGGGGTTCCCGCAGAGCTGCCGTTAGGGCTCCAGGTCCCTGACTTCTGTTACTCCACTCCAAGTTAAAACTCTCTTTCCTGTCTCCTCAAACTCATTACTGCCCAAGTGCCATGGCCCCCAAGCCCGGGAGTGAGTGGAGCACAGTCCTGTCCCACCTGGTGCTGGGAATGGTGTCTCTTCATGGAGCGGTGAGTTCTGCGCAGGTAAGTAACCCCACTCCCACACGCTAAAATCCTTGTTTGCTGCACCAGAGAGAGGGTGATGGGAGGCGAGGGTGGGACCAGGTCTCTATGAGAAGCCCAAACCTTTTCCTGTTTAAAGGGGTCACCTACCCTCTTGTTTCCTTCACTAACAGTCAAGTCGAGGGGCTGCTGCTGGTTTCCTGCTCCAGGCTTTGGCTGCTGCCTCCATGCTGGTTCCAGGGCTGGGCACACATGAAGATTGTCTCGCTGGAGCCTGGGTGACCACAGTCATCGGCCTGCCCCTTCTGGCTTTCGACTTCCACTGGGTGAACGGGGACCGCTCCTCTGCTAACCTACTCCTGGGCGGAGGCATGGTGCTGGCAGTGGCTGGTGATCACCTTGGCCCTGAAGGCTGCTCTGTGGCTGGTCAGGCAGTACTGCTGGTGGTGGCAGTGACCATCCTCATTGTGGCTATTTTCACAGCCAACACTTATGGGATGTGGGGGGGTGCGATGCTAGGTGTAGCAGGCCTCCTGAGCCGACTGGAGGAGGAGAGGCTGCTGCTGCTGCCGAAAGAGGATGTCTGTCGCTGGGCCCTGGCTGCAGGCAGTTGGGCCTACTGCCGGGCCCTGCACACACAGCGCCTGCAGTGGGAATGACAGTTGCACACAACAAGGCTGAGCTTCTCACTTGGCTACCACCTCCCTTTCCACCAGCCTGCTCCTGGAGCTTCCTCCCCTAGGAATAGGCTTTCCCTTCTCCTACAGTGGGCTTGCTGCAGGTTGACTTATCAGGAATGGAGCTTAGATGCTGTCTCTTCTCCAGTCACTGTAGGAACTTGCCTAGACCAGAATGAAAGGGCCAGGGTCCCAGGCATTTTTGGGGCCTCCTTCTGGCAAGGACATAGTTGTGGGTTCAGAGAGACTTGATCTCCAATAAACCTTAGGAATTCTACAGGAATATGAAATTTGCCAATTCTTGAGAGGGACTGAGGGGCCTTTGGTGAGCTTCCTGAAGCCTCCAGGGCATCAGCTGTTTTCCCTGAACAAAGGGAGGGGATGTGCTGGAACATGCCTGGGCCTCATTCAGTCTGGCCTCCTTCTGGCACATTTGTCAGGAGGGGCTGCTGTGCCTTGAATATATAGCCCCAGAGCCCTTGCTCTCCTTTGACATAGTAGATTCCGGATATTGTTGCCCAGCCTGGCAGGTGGCCCTCTGGGGCAGTGACCTTCACGGGCTGATGGCTGGGTTAGTAAGGGCAAGGGAGGGCTGGCTGTACCGCCGCGATTGGCAGAAATGCATCTTCCTTCCCTGGCCTGACTCAATGACTACCTGTTTGCCTTCCAGTCGGTGCGAGCAAAATCCTATTCCCTAAGACCTTCACTTTCCTCTGTGGACCCTTCTTCAGCCTCCAACCCCAGGATAGGAAACCGGGTTGAACAGAGCAGGGGGTTAGAGGTCCCAAGTGTGCCCCTTCCCCCCGGGCAGTACCCATGTGTCCAGCAGAAGCATATCTTATGCCGCACACGACGGGTGGTCGGCCGGGCTCTTTAAAGTTGGTGCCCTTCCACTCGGGAGAGCCAGGCCACATTCACCCCCGAGTGTTGGGACACGATGGCGAAGGGAGACCCCCGACCCCGCTGACTCGCCGCGTATAGGGGCCGTCCTTTCGCCCCTAGGCGGGATTCCTCACCTCAGGTGCGCGCCCCTCCACGGGTCGTCCGGGCCCCGCCCCTCATGCCCACCTTCTACCGGAGGCGGGCCTCACGCGCTTCGTGCACCCATTGGTTCTGGGCGCCGAGCCGTCTAGTTCCAGGCGGCGGTCCCATTGGCCCCGCGTGGAGCCCACGTGATGGGGAGGACGAGGGGGCGGTGGCGCGGGGGGGCGCGCAGGGAAAACAAAGATGGCGGACGCCCCGGGGTCGGTGGCCGCGGCGGCTGCGGGGCGACGCGCGGGCCGGGCCCACTGAGGCGGCGGCGCGGAGAGTAGGCTGTGGGGTCGCGGCGGCGGCAAGAGGCCGGCGGGGGCGCGCGGCGCCCCTAACTTCCAGCCGGCGAGCGCGCCGGCACCCGCCCGTCGGGCCGGCCGGCCGCAATGTCCGGCGCCGAGGAGGCCGGCGGGGGCGGCCCGGCCGCAGGGCCCGCGGGCTCCGTGCCGGCCGGGGTCGGGGCCGGGCCCGGGGCGGCCGCGGGACCGGCGGCGGCGGCGCTGGGCGAGGCGGCGGGGCCCGGGCTCCCGGACGAGGCGGGCCTGGCCGGCGCCCGGCAGCTGCAGGAGGCAGCCGGCGACCCCGACGCGCCGCCCAAGAAGCGGCTGCGGGCGGCCGAGGCGGCCGAGGCGGCGGCGGCGGCGGCGGCGGCGGGCAGCGGGAAGCTGGAGGAACGGCTCTACTCGGTGCTGTGCTGCACCGTGTGCCTGGACCTGCCCAAGGCCTCCGTGTACCAGGTAGGGCCGCCGGCCCTGCCCGGCGCCGCGTCTCCTCGAGCCGGGCCCGGAGGCCCGGGGCCGGCAGCTGGGACCCTCTCCGGTCCTCACCTCCGCCTTCTGCGCCCGCGGGACCCTGGAGCCTGTCCCGAAACTCCTCGTTTTCTCTCTCCTCTCCTTGCTCCGAACCCCCTTTTTCCGTGTTCCGACCCTCTGTCAGTTTCAGTTTTCTCTTTCTTGTTTAGATCCTGCCTCTCCTCTTCCAGGTTCCTTCAAGGTTCTCTTCTTGATACCTTCCGCTCCCCTCTAGCTGACCCCGAGGAGAGCTAGAGACAGGTGTCTACACTCCCTGCCCATTCTTGGCGCTGCTCCTCACTCCCAGGCTTTCTGGGCACACAGGCCCCTTTACTTGAGGGAGATCCTCTGTTCTGGCAGCCACACCCCCAAGCGTGTCCGTCCATTTCTGAACTCGTATATATTTTCTTTTCTGTTCTCCAGAGCCCTGTCAAATTCTTTCTGAAAAACAGGAAGAAGGGAGGGGACTGCCTTTTGTCCCTCCCCCAGCCCTCCTGCTCTGGTCTGGAGGAACCCCTGCAACAAGCCAGCTGCAAGACTGGCAGTCAGGGTACTTTCTCCAGATCAAGCCGGAGTTTCCCACCCCAGCCCCCCTCATCCATTCCAGTCCTGGTTTCCTTGGTCTCCCATTCACCATCTGAGGAAGATCCAGTGCAGTGGCTGGACTCAGGATCCTTGCCACCTCAGGGCTGCTTGATGGGTACCTGGTCCAGTAGATCCAGAATGTCCCCTCCTGGTTACAGAGCAGACTTCTGGTTTAGGCCCAGAGTCAGTGGGCAGTATCAGTCTGCCTTCTCCTGATTGTCCCACCTTGGCCCCAGCCCCTTTGAGAAACAACGTGGGTTCCCTGTCAATTATTTTGTACTTACAGAAGCTGGAAATGGCTGGTGGGTCCTTGCTTTTGTTTAGACTGGGTCCTGTGTGAGGGGGCCACATACGTAGGAAGCAGGATAGGGCTAGTTTGGGTTGCTATTTCCCTAGCCTCTGGGTCTCTCAGTCCTTTCTGCTCTGACCAGAGGTTGCTTGGGAGGACCCCGGTGTCCTGGATGGGGCAATCACCTTCATGCGTGTCAGGCCAGGGTCAGCTGGGGGAGAATCTTCCACAGTGCTGGTCCCAGCACCAGCATTTACCCCTCTCCTTGGGGACCATCTGGACCCCTTTAACCCCTAGCCCATTTTTCCTTGCCTACAGCCTCATGGTCCCCTCTGCTGGAAGAGCTTTTCCTCTCCTTGGCCTTGAGTGAGAGCCAAGTCAGTAGTGGGGAGATCCCAGGGAAGTCAGGGGTATCCTTGTCTCCCTTCCTGTGAATGGTCTGGAGCTGGACTTGGCATGATGACAGGCCACCCAGTACTGGCTTCTAGTGCACACAGCTCTGCTTGTGGCCAGACAAGCTGGTGACCAGGCCTCTGAGCCTGGCTGGTTCAAACTAGCCTGCACTCTGTTCAGCGTAAGCTCTGGCCTGGGCAGCTAGAGGCAGGGCAGCTGAGCAGATGTAACAGCATGAAGTCCAGGGTTGCCCTGACTAGTGCCCTGCCAGGTTGAGGCTGCCCCGTGGCTTCCGAGAGCAGACAAGCTGAGCATGGGGAGCCAAGGTTACTGACACTAAGTTGTGGGCTCCGCCACAAGCCTCTATCCCACCTTCATTCTTCCCAGGTGACACTCAGAGCAAGAGTTTCTCTCTCATCTCTAGAAGCTGGGAGAAGGAACTAGAATATATAGCTGTAGAAGAGCCTTTGGGCCCTGTGATGGAACTTTGGCTGCTTATGGACTTGCTGTGTGAAATGGGGAGGGGGCCAGGGGAAAGAAGGAAGCTTTCCTATTGCCTCTGAATGCCACTGGGGACACTTCYCATGGTGGTTCCCTGCCATGTACAGTGACTCTGGAGGCTAATTATTGCTGTCCCCACCAAGTCATTGTGGGTCAGGACAGACCACGCTCTTGCCTGGTCTTTCCAAAGGTTCTAGGCACAGATGGAGTGGGCATGCCCCTAGTCAGGGCCTACTGCTGACCACTATCTTGGCTTGGCCCCTTCATCTTTTGCTAGCCTTCATTGATGACCCACATTGATTGACTGTCTATGGTGAACCAGTCTTTGCCTTCTTGCTCTCTGCTCCTCAGGCAACATTTTCCCCCCTGCTGCTGGGGATTGGACCTGAGGGCACTTTACTACTGAGTTACAGCCTCAGCCCTTTACAAAAAAAAAAGAATTTGTTTTTTGTTTTGTTTTGTTTTTAATTTTTGAAACAGGTTCTCACTAAGTTATCAAGGCTGGTCTTGAACTTGTGATCCTCCTGCCTCAGACTTCCAAGTTACTAGAATTACAGGTGTGCACTATCATGCTTGAGTCCTGCTGGCAATATTTTGCCTGATCCCAGCAGAATTCATGGCTGGGAATGGGCCTCTTCCATGCCTAGTGTCCTGAGGGCTGGCTCAGGCACTCTGCTCTGACATGAGGAGAAGAGGCGGCGGTGGCCATGCTGAGCCCTGTGTGTTGTATCTCACTCTGGGTTATGTGGTTGG